CTCCAAGTCGAAGGAGGGCATGGTCTGGGCGAAGAAGGAGAACTTTGCCGACTGGTACACGGACGTCATCACCAAGTCGCAGATGATCGACTACTATGACATCTCGGGCTGCTACATCTTGCGCCCGTGGTCGTACGAGATCTGGGAGCACATCCAGGCGTACTTGGACGCCAAGTTCAAGTCGATTGGTGTCAAGAACTGCTACTTCCCCATGTTTGTCACGAGCGAGAAGCTCAACCGCGAGAAGGACCACTTGGAAGGCTTTGCCCCCGAAGTCGCTTGGGTCACCAAGTCGGGTGACGCCGACCTCAAGGAACCCATTGCGATCCGCCCGACGTCCGAGACCATCATGTACCCGGCCTTCAAGAGCTGGATCCGCAGTCACCGCGACCTGCCCGTGCGCCTCAACCAGTGGTGCAACGTTGTCCGCTGGGAGTTTAAGAACCCGACGCCGTTCATCCGCACGCGCGAGTTCTTGTGGCAGGAAGGCCACACGGCCCACGCGACCAAGGAAGGCGCCGCGAAGGAGGTCATGCAGATCCTCGAGTTTTACGCCGGCGCGTACGAGGAGCTCCTCGCCGTGCCCATGATCAAGGGCAAGAAGTCGGAGAAGGAAAAGTTTGCCGGCGCCGACTACACGACCACGATCGAGGGCTTCATTCCGTCGACGGGCCGCGGTATCCAGGCTGCGACGTCGCACCACCTCGGCCAGAACTTTGGCAAGATGTTTGGCATCTCGGCCGAAGACGACCAGGGCCAGAAGCTCATTCCGTACCAGAACTCGTGGGGCTTTACGACGCGCTCGATCGGCGTCATGATTATGATCCACGGCGACGACAAGGGTCTCGTGCTTCCGCCCCGCGTCGCGCCGCTTCAGGCCGTCATCATCCCGATCCCGGTCACGGACAAGGACGAGACGGACAAGATCCACGACAAGGGTGACGAAGTCCTCGCGTACCTCCAGGAGGCGGGCATCCGCGGCGAGGTCGACCACCGCCGCCTGTACACGCCCGGCTGGAAGTACAACCACTGGGAGCTCAAGGGCGTGCCGCTCCGCCTCGAGCTCGGCCCCAAGGACATCCTCAAGCAGCAGGTCCGCGTCGTGCGTCGTGACACGAACGAGAAGATTGACATTGCGTTCACGGACCTCAAGACCAAGCTCCCGGCGCTCCTCGAGACGATCCAGAAGGAGATGCTCGAGCGTGCGCGCAAGGAGCGCGACAACTGCATCCGCATCGTGACGCAGTGGTCGGACTTTGTCAAGACCATTGCCGACGGCTGCATGGTGCTCACGCCCTTCTGCAACGAAATCGAGTGGGAGGAGGTGGTCAAGACGCGCAGCCGCGAAGAGTCGCTCGCGATCCTCGGCGAGGACGGTGAGGCCGACAACACGGCGACGAGCGTCGCGGCCAAGAGTCTTTGCATGCCGTTTGAGAACAACGAGATGCCGATGGAGCCCGGCACCAAGTGCTTCGTCTCGGGCAAGGACGCCAAGTGCTGGATCTTGTGGGGCCGCAGTTATTAAGCCCCTTTGCAACACGACTGTGCTGCTTTGTTTTGTACACGAGCGTTGGCATGCGAGACTTGTCACTGAGCGTCATTGGAGGACGTCCATACTGTACCCGATGCATCGTCCGCAGCGGCCATGCACTCGCCGCTCACAGATCACAGATCGCGTACTATCTGTGCCACTGTAGTAGGACCTGGTACGCTGTGAGAGGCAGGTCTCGGACTTTGTGGCGACAGCCCCATGCCCACCGCGTCGTCGAGACCCAGGTGCATGGCACATGCCTCGACGCAGCGACACCGGCGACCTCATAAGGGGCGTTGCAGGTATAAATAGCAACATGGCGAGGAGTGGTGTAGCCATCGTCGTCCTCTTCGTCGTCGGACGACTCCTGCGCGTACATGCGACCGATACGTTTCCCAACCCGACGCCCGAAGGCAAGTCGTGGGCGCCGTGCGCGTCCGCGGTGCTGGCGATCGCAGCCCAAGGCGACGGCTCCTCGCCGGGCTCGTGCATGAGCTGCGATCCAGCGCAGAACAAGTGCCCCGCCAAGTGCCAGCCGCTCATCAACACGTTGTACGTCGACTGCGACGGTGTCTACTCGCCTCCAGGTATAGTGCTACTACATCATCTATACCCTTCGACCCACGCCCAGGTCTCTTTTTTGACCCGGCGGCCAAGATCCATGGCTACTGGAACGGCCAAGTCAACGTGACGCGCATCGCGGTCGAGCGCTGCGGCTGCAACGACGCTCTTCGCACCCTTCATGGCAGCGTCGCACTCGCTCTCGCTGGAACGCTGTGGCTTCTTTACTAACTTAAATATCGTACATTGCTCTTGGTGGTGCGACGACTAGGCTCCTGGTCTGCGCTGGAGCACGATGAGCCGGCGGTCCTCGGCGCCGATCGCATTCCATAGCTTGCGGGGCGTGCGCGTCACGGCGGGCATCGACACGTGCGCGTCAAAAATGGGCGCCAATGGCGTCGGCACGTCCTCCGCTGCCGGACGCTCGCCGCTTTTTCTACGCATACTATGAGTGTCAGGTAGCTGAAAAGACAGGAAGACGACGACGTGGGCTTGTGCGGGGGCTTGATTTGGACGGGCACGCTCGGACGCAACTGATCTCGCTTGCGCGACGACCCTTTGGCGAGCTTCCTAACGAGTTTTTTGTCTTGAGCTACCTACCTTTACACCGCGAACGTCGTACAAGGTCTGGAACTGCAGTGTCCGAACGTCGTAGTGCCCCAGCGCTGGCAGCAACGGGTCGTCCAGTGGCGGCTACCATGCATTGTATATATTCCTCTCTCTCATCTATTGCGTAGTACCTCGAACGACAAGGCGTCCACCTTGAGTGTGGACGACGGCTTCAGCGGGCGAAGCACGGGCGGGCTGTAGACGGGTACGTTTGCGGTTGGTGGCAACGGTTTTGGTACAGGACGTCGATGTCGCCGGGCGTGGAGTGTTACCGATGGTGGAGCCTCTGGATCGGGCGGTGTATGCGGGCGCTCGTTCACCAGCACGCATTTCTCGAATGGATCGCCAATGGGCTCCTCAGTGTCTTCAGCATCGAAGGGTTCTTGATTGGAAGTGGCCTCTTCGGTCTCGTGGTCGTACTCGGAGTCGACGATGGACTCGAGGACGGCGGCGGTTGATGGCGGCTCGAGCGCGCGCGGCAGCGGCAGCTTTGTCGGGAGCACGTCGACCGCCACGAGCGTGAAGAGCTTCTCGAGGATGCCGACGAAGAGGTCGCCCTGGGCATTGGCAAAGCACATGCACGAGAGCGGCGTCGACATTTGCACTTCCCGCAGCAAGTTCTTGCTCTGGTCCCAGACCTACGCGCTGTGCGTCAGGTCGCCCTTTGGTTCAAGAGACCACCTTGATACTCATGTCGAAGCTTGTCGTGACGCACAGGTGGAGCTCGTCCGAGCAGTCGGCGGCAATCACCATGGACGAGTGGTTGACTTCGGACGAGATCAGCTTGGGCTACTCCAAATGTTACACTATACCAATGGGACATGGCGTACCTCGGCGCAGGCGAAATCGACGAAGTCGACGCGACCGTCTTCAAAGCCGCAGACGATCAGCTGCGCGGTGGGCGACACGCTCATGCACGAGGGCACTTCGCCGAGCGTGATCATCGCGAGGCGCGTCATGCGCGGCGCCGTGCGCCAGAGCCCGAGCGTCTTGTCGTGCGCAAAGCTCACGAGCGTCGCGGTCGCCACACTAGTAAACGCAAGGTACGTGATCGGTGCTGCGTGGCCTGGCTGCAGCAGCGCTTCGTCCAGCGAACCGTGCATGGACGAGCTAAAGAGGAGGTCGCCTTTGTCCGAGCCGCACGCGAGCCAGTGGACGCCCATTTGCGCTTCGAGCGCGGCTTGGGCGAGGTAGTCGGAGCGGGATTGCTGGACGATGGCGCCGCGTCGACCCGCGTCCGTGCGTTGCGAGTGCAAGTGAAAGATGGGCGGCGCCAAGACGCAGCAAATCGCCTTCACGACGCGATTCTCAATCTCAATCCATCGAATTGGCGTCGTCACATCGAGCGCCACGTCGTAGACCGCAATGCGTTTTTTCAGCAAAATGTACAAGATGTCCACATACGGGTTGTACGCGATGCCAATGACGTCTTGCAGCACCGCTTCGTCCGGTGTCCACGTCGCCGACGGCACGTTCATGCGCCGTGTCGCATAGATCCGCACCGACCGGTCCTGGCACATGCTCACAACGTGGGTGTCGCTCCAATCCGAGAGGTTGTCGCCCGCCGTCGTAGTTGTGCGTGAGGGCGGTGTCGTTGGTGTTCGAGATGCCATGAGATGGATTGGGATCTGGGACACCTTGCGTCGCATGACTGGCGGCCGAGGGTTCGAGGACGGCTTGTGCCGCTGCTGTTTGCCCGGTGCGAGCGCCCGGAAGAGAATCGCGAGCGGCGACGCCGTCGCACTGTGCTCTTTAAGCGTGTACTTGAGCAAAAGCAGTCGCATGGCTTGGCGCGACTGGACCGCAAAGATAATTGGGTTGGTCTTGGGGACGAGGAAGAGACCCGCGACAGGGGCGTCCATACGAATTTGGTGAATATTGCGGAGGAGGTCGAGGTCCCACATGCGGATCGTGCCATCGAGCGATCTAAAATCGACAATAATGTACAAAATGACGAACAAAAGAAGAGAAAATACGAGGAAAAGACGCTTTGGGACACGTCGTCGAACGCGAGGCCCGTGATGGGCTTGGTGTGGTCCTTGAAGACTGCAAGCGTCGACCGCGGGTTCAAGGTCGCGACGTAGATCGAGCCATCCATGCAGCCGACGACAATCGCCTTTTGCTTGTACACGACAAAGTCGGTGATGGCACCATTGACATTTTTCACCAGTTTCTTGATTGTCTCAACGTGCGAATTGTCGAGCAGACAGTAGACGTGGACAGCGTTGTTGGACAAGAAGTAGACGCGGTCCAAATCGAGCTTCATGCGCTGAACCCACGTAGTTCCAGTTCTTGTAAACGCGTCGCTGGCTGCGACTTGGTACGCTGGGTTGCGTAGCGTCTGGCCTTCGTGCTCGTATCTACGGAGGCGTCATCAGTTTTTTCTGGGCATCGAGCTTTGAAGGCGACCCGTCCCAGTCCTTGCCGCGCAGGACCCACGCACCGCAGCCATCGACGCCGCCCGTCAAGATGCGCTGGCGCGGCTCATCGAACGCAAGACAGAGGATGCTCGCGCGGTGTGTAAAGACGACGGCGAGCTCGTCCATGTGCTCGTCGTAGAAGCGCAGTGCACCGTCGAGGCAGCTCGCCACGTACAAGTTGCGCGACGGAATGTACTCGATCGTTTGCACCAAGTTTGACGTACGCGCTGGCAAGGCTGCGCTGCGGATTTCTCCGTCGCGGTGCCATAGCTTGATGCTGCGTTCGTCTAGTACAATAACCGCATGTGAGGTGGAGAGTGAGACGACTACAAGTCGACCGGTGGTCGCAAAGCGGTCAAGGCGGGCGTTGTAGCAGAACGCGTTGATCGCAGAGCTGTGGGCGACTTGGACTAGCTCCTCGATGACCACGCCTTGCATCGTCAAGCATGGACTGGCTAGCAGTTTCGGACCGTAACTGGGTGGCACGATGGAATAGTAACGCTTTGAGACACTTTATTTTACTTGGTTTCACGCCGCCACGTCATGGAGGTACCTTGTGAAGGTATGCTGCCGCCTTTTAACGCTGCTGCAACAGAAACCTATCGAACGCATAGGGGCGAACCCTTCTACAAGGGACCACATCGTCAATGAGCAAGAACATTCGTACCAGGTCGTATTAAGCAAAGCGATGGTCCTGTAGAAAGGAAATTAACCATATAAACCCTTGACAAGATGGGTAAGCGTTTACAAAAGACCCACCAATGGCATCGCAGTACGCCACCTGCGATCTTTGACCGTCCGATGCTCATCGCCGTTGTGTTGGACGTCGAGCACAAGGAAGGCGAGGACAACCTCCTGTACGTGAGCACCAAGTCGGACTGTCACGCGCTCTTGTCGCTGCGCGGCGTCGTGGCTGCCGCTGCTGGCGCGGTGCGGACGCTCTTTCGAGAGCGCATCCAAAGCTGCACGTTTGCGCCGGGTGTGGGCGCCGCCTATATCGACGACGGCGATCTCCTCTTCGTCCTCTTGCAAGACGGAGGTGATGGTTCGACCATGTGGCTACAAGCATGTGCGAGCGACTGCTACGAGTTTCTTCAGAGCGCGTTCGGCCCGCCTGGCGTCAAGTGCTGCGACTGGAAGACGCAGTCGGCAGCCGTCGACGACGTTGTCGCTCAGTGGTTTGCCGCCGTCGCGCACGGTGCGATCTCTCGTCTTCAACACCAACACAGTGGCATAGCATAGAATAGAGCCGAGCATGGTCTGGCGAGCACTGTTTCCGATGTCGACGCCGGCGCGCCGGCCGCCGTGGCGAATCCTCGTACGGAGACGCTACCTTGCGCAGCCGTGTCATGCGCTTTGTAGATGGAGATGCACGGACCGCAGTACCTCAACATTGCCGAACTGGTCTCGGAATTATTGTCACGTGCCACTGATCGTGTACGTAGCCTAGCCGCGGGCGTCCGATCGGCGTCCTTCTCTGCTATGCGTAACGTCTACCATGCCATTTGCTTGCAGCAGACCGACCATCCATGGCTCTAGGCAGCAGGTTGTGCTCTCGACCTTTGGCGCTGCCACCACACGTCTTCTCCATCAATGGGCTCTCTTTTACGGTACTACGCTCTCCCACCATGAGACGACTGAGTGAGAGCGTAACAGGGAACGCGGGAGCTTGTCATGTCCTGCATATCAATTTGCTGGACGAAGTCGCACACGAAGTCATTGGTCGCTTGCTCACGCTGCTCCGTCATGGCGCAGTACGCCGAGGCGCTTGCATCTCTCGCGTCATGCTTGGCGTAGTGGGCGCTGCTGGTGCTCGACTCGATCGCCGACGACCCTCCTTCATCCGACTTGGTTGCAAGCGCCGCACAACTCGGTCGTTTGCTCATTTGGTGTAGGATCTACTCCCGCGACTCGAGGCGGCCTTTGGGCACCAGCTCGCGTCAGAGGCGCCACTTGTCGTCTTGCCACCGCCGCACACGGACGCGTACCTCCATGTGCTGCGTTGGAGCAAAGTGCATCATTGCTTTTACGAGCAAGCGCCAACGAAGCCTTGCGCATTGCTGGACGACGAGCGCCGCGCCGCGTTGACGCGTTGCATCGAGGGCATGCAGGCGCGGTATGCAGCGTCCGAAGTACGCGACCATCCATCCATTCATCCCGCTCAGTGTCTTGGTTAGATGGCCCATCGCACCTGCACGTCTCCGTTCATCGAGCATCCGGAAGCCCCGATTGCGGACGACACGACGTGGATGCTGCACGTCGCTGTGCCCAGGAGCGACGATGGTGAAGACATGGGCGGCAGCGGGTACGACCGCGGCCTCTTTCCCCCGAGCAATTCGCTCTACCGCCCGAGCCAAGTGCTGTCACAGCGCCTGTCGACCCAGGCGCGTCAAGTGCGCGTCGGTTCGTCGCACATGCTGTGGGTGCGCGCGTATGGGATTCGCTTCGTCTTGCAGTGTCTGATATGCGAGCGCTAGCTATCACATGGCCGCACGGGATGTCTACGTGTGCTACGACGCGTCGACGCCGCACCACGTTTTCGAGACCGCACTCCAAAACGCGGTACTGGATTGAAACGTATCAAGTTGATAGATAGAGCTACAGTGCTACACATGCAAGCAGATCAAAATTTCGTCCATATAGATGCGAGCGCGTACCTGGTGAGAGCACAAACTGGCGCGGCGTCTGGGTCGAGATGAGGCCGTCGTTGAGCGCGGGGATCTCAAACCGGTTGAGGAAGAGCAGCATCGTGTGGATGAGAAAGACGATCGTCGTCCAGAGCGCCGTGTACGAAAAGCCAAACGGAAAGCAGAAAAAGTAGACGTGGAACATGCTAAAGTAGAGCAAAAAGAGCGGTGGAAAGAACGTGAGCGAGAGCCATGTCCGGACGCTAGACCACATGTCACCTGGTCAAGACTCCCATTTGAACCAGACAAAGATACCAGACGACCGAGTAGAGTTCGCAGAGCCACGCGAGCGACATGACGATGAACGCGAGGAGCTGGTCTTTGAAAAACTCAAACAGGAAAAAGAGCATCCCGACCTAAAGTTGACGTTGAGAAGTTTTTTCTTGTAAGTGTTGTGTTTCAGAAAATAGCAGTACCATGATGGGCACGAATACAAGCGACTCGATGATGTGGCTGAGCACGAGCTTGGTGTACGGCAGTCGGTGTCGAATGTGCTGCTGCAGCAAGACTACAAGTATCAACCTGTCAAGCGCTCGGCTTGCGGGCGAATGCAATACTCGTAAACTTGAGCATGCGTTGCTGCGTCTCGCGCAGAATGAACGAGACGAGTGTCGTCGTGCTGAAGAAGAGAAAGAGCACCGTGCAAAAGATACCGAGCTTGTACGCGACCAGCGAATACCACTACGACGGTGTTATGAGCTGTGACGATTCGCCTCTTGGTACCGTCGACGTCGTCGCGCGAAACTCGCTCGCATAGTTGAGGTTATACGTGTCCTTTGTGAGCTCGTTGTAGAGGTAGCCTTTCCCGCCGTCCGTAATTTCAATCATGTTGTTGATCAGAATCGTGTCCAAGCCAAGGACCTTGTCGAGGAAGAGCATCCACGCGCTCGAACTGCCCACGAACGGCAGTCCAAAGCACTCGGACGACATGGGCACCGAGACGTGCGCGATCTGCAGCGCCGGCATCTCGTCCGGGTACTCGACCAATGTCAAGAGCCCTTTCTGCATCGCATAGACGTACGCGTTGCGCTGTCCGTAAACAAACCCTACCCGACACATGTAGGCTCGTCCTCAATGTTGCATCGGCCGAAGTACCGAGAGCGAAAGCCACGACGCCTTGTCAGGCTCGACTTGTATATGCAGCAGGTGCGGCATCGTGGTGGGCATAAACTGGCGCAGGCAGCCGGCTTGGCCGTGGCCGCTACCACTGCCATGAGCGTCCTCCGCATGGCATACTTCGCGCACCTCATAAACGTGCGGTGGAGGGTGGCCACGAGGCATAGGAGACCCACGGCGAGCACGAAGAGGGTCGTCTCGAGGGCAATGCGTGTCTATCGCAGCGCGCATGACGCCTCGACGATGATGCATGAGGATGCGAGTATGTACCTTGCCGCCGGCGAGGCGCATGAGGATGCGGCTTACCCGCACATGCATGCGGAAGAAGATCTGCTCCATGAGAGGGTCGGTGCAGCGTGTGGATGGCGGCGTAAGGTGTCGGGTGCAAGCCACGCTCCGGCCGCTGTTTATGTTCTGCGGCCAAGTGGAAATATCTCGAGCTCAACTTTTCCATACAAAGGGCAAGGTGGGGCATCCGGATTCAACCGACGTATCCGGATATCGGCCGTCAACAGCGTGATTTTGGCGGACAGTTGATTTTAATCTGTGGGCCGCGTCAACTTCAATGTGACGAGCGACGTGTCACGAGCCGCGGCCGAGTATCTTGGCAATGGCCAATGAGCGAGCGAGCGGAAGATGATCTTCGGCGTTGAAGTGTACGATTCGGAAGGCGTGCGAAGAAGGCGAAGAAGACGTGATCGTGCGGCTTGAAGGTCTTGGCGTGTACAACCCCGCGCAGTGGCAAGCACGGATGCACAGTGGAAAGAGTTCGCTGTCGCCACGTTCTTCTTGTTCAACCCACTGACCACTTTTCCCGGACGAGCAGCAGAGGTTGCGGTTGTCGCACTGCTGCACTGCCGTAAGAAGGTACCAGTAACTAAATAAAAGCGTTCGATGCGTGTATGTAATGAGCGCTGGTGCTTCGGAGCAGGTGCAGTACACGATCCAGCCTGGCTCTTTCCACGCCGTCGATACTTCGTTTTACTAGCCACCGACATCCTGTGATCCGACCTTGGCCTCGACCCGACCGTGGCCTCGACCAGACTGCGCGTCCTTCGCCTGTCGCGATGGAAACAAAACGTTTGTTGTCGCCGCTAGCGTGCACTGCAGGTACTCTGTCCTGCGCTGGCGCCCTGTCGCCATCATGGCGGGTGGCAATGCGCGTCGATCAGCGTATCATGCGTTAAACGCCGCTAGATGCGTTTTAGTACGTTAAAGGTCTTTCCGGACGACCCTATTGGCCAATCGTGGTCGCGCGTATCCGGACTGCCAAGAGCGCTATCTTTTGCCACCAACCAAGGACGATGGCGAAGAAGGACAAGAAGGCGACGGCCGCCAAGAAGGACGAGAAGAAGGCCCGGCAGGAGCTCAAGCAGCAGAAGGTCAACAAGAAGAAGGCAACGAAAGAGGCCAAAGATGCTGGCGAAGAAGACATTGAGGCCATTCTGAACGAGTTTATGAAGAAGGACGCGGCCAAGGTGGCCATCACGATCGTGCCGACGACGCAGCCGTCGCCGCGCGCCAACTTTTCGCTCTGCTCGATGCCCAACAACGACTTGCTTCTCTTTGGCGGCGAGTACTTTGACGGCGAGTGCAACGAATGCTTCAACGAGCTCTACCGCTGGAACCTCGAGACGAACGAGTGGAAGCTCATCTCGTCGCCCAACACGCCGCCGCCACGCTGCAGCCACCAGTCGGTCGTGTACCGCGACCACCTGTATATCTTTGGCGGTGAGTTTGCGACCGCGGACCAGTTTTACCACCACCGCGTACGTCCTCACCACACTCTCTCGATCGCTCTGCACGCTGCGCATGCTAGGACCTCTGGCGCCTCGACCTCAAGACGAACGCGTGGGAGTGCATCGAGAGCAAGGGCGGTCCGTCACCACGCAGCGGCCACCGCATGATTGTCTGGCGCAACTACCTCGTGGTCTTTGGCGGGTTCTACGAAGCGGCCCGCGAAACCAAGTCGGTCAATCGGCCTATCCAGTTGTAGCTCACGCTTCGTCCCTTCGTAGGTGGTTCAATGACCTCTTCCTCTTCAACTTTGCCGATCTCAAGTGGAAGAAAATTTCGTTTCCCGTGCACAAGACGACGCCGGGGCCGCGTAGTGGCTGTCAGGTCCTCGTTCCTCTCTACGACCGGCCTCTCTCAATAAGATCGTATAGCTTGCGGTCTTGCCGTCCAAGGACACGATCTTCATGTATGGTGGGTACGCCAAGATCAAGAACGTGGGCGAAAAGTCCGAGGGCAAGGTGTACACGGACATGTGGGCGCTCAACATGGCACCCGTCATCAAGAACCAAGACCCGACGTGGGAAAAGGTTTTCTCTCCGAGCCGAGCGCGCCGTTTACAGAGGTGTCTATGCCACTAGCTCTCGCGGAAGGGACATGCGCCGAGTCCGCGCAGTGGTGCGACCATGACGGTCTACAAGAACCGCGCGATCCTCTTTGGCGGCGTCTTTGACGAGGAGGGCCGTCGCCACGAGCTCAAGAGCGTTTTTTACAACGACATGTTTGCGTACGATATGGAGCGGAAGCGCTGGTTCGAGTACAAGCTCCGCAACAAGAAGGACGGCACCAAGCAGCGGCGCCGGAAAAAGAGCAAGACGTCAACGCCAGGCGCCGACGACGATGACGACGACGACGACGACGACGACGACGGGTCCCAAAGCGGCAGTGACGACGACCGCGCGGACGACGTACGACGCTTGCTTGTCGTCTCGGGGTCCACGTGTATGTGTAGGAACAGTACCAGAAGCGCCTCAACCAATTTGGGTATGTTGGCGAAGACGGCACCATCGTGTACCTGGAAGACGACGACGAGGAAGAAGAGTCAAAAGAAGACAGCGGCGCAAAGGAGCTGCCGCCAGCCCGATTGCGTGCCAACGACAACGAAGAAGAAGAGACCAAGGAGGAGGAAGACGACGACGATACGTCCGACTTGCTTCCGGACGTCTTGCCGCCGCCTGTCGTCGCGCCGGTTGTGGACGACGGCCCGCCGGCCCGTGTGCCGCTGCCGCGCATCAACCCCGCGCTCATTGTGCGTGGCAACACCATCTTTGTCTACGGCGGTGTCCTTGAGGTCGGACTGCGCTTTCGATGCAGATATTCTCACTACAGGGACGACCGTAGGATGGCGATCGGGAGATCACGCTCGACGACTGTTGGTACACTGCTGGTACACACATCGATCCCGCGCTTGACGAATCGCATGACGTAGGTCGATGGATCTCAAGCGCATGGACGAGTGGGTCGAAATTCTGCCGGGCACGATGGCGCAGCAGCTCTGGAAGGGCGTTGTGAGTGACACAGAGGACGACGACGACGACGACGACGATGACGACGACGAAGAAGAAGACGATGACTTTCAAGAGTACGTCGAGCCAGTGGAGGATAACGACGACGACGCTAAGCCGCCGGTATGTCGCACATCTCAAATCGCACTGACCATCACATTCAACCAACTAGGTGCCGAGCGAGGCGGCGGTGGCCGTGGCGCGTGCTGTGGACGTTCTTGACGGCGCCGACGACCCGGTCAAGTCCAAGAAGAAGAAGAACGACCGGTGCGTGAACGCGTCGAGGGTGTCGTATGGAGCCTTTGTGCATAGGAAAGCGCTTCGCAAGGAGATTGAAGAGCTCCAGGACCAGCTGCAGCTCGCAGATGAGCTGCAGACGCCGCAACCGGGCGAGACGTTGCGTGATTTCTTTGCCCGCACCGCCAACCACTGGGCGCGTCAGGTAGAACAAGCGATCGTCGTCACCGAATACTGTTGTCTAACGGCGGTGTAGGTGGCTGATTTGCCCGAGACGACCGAGCGCCAGCTGAGCGTCAAGGACATCAAGCGCGAAGGTTTCTCGATGGCCGAAGTCCGCTACAACGAGCTTTTGCCGAGTACGACGACGAATTTCCATGCGCAACTGCACCATTGGCTCATGATCAACGTGTAGTTTTGGAGCGCTTGAACGAGCTCGAAGCGGCGCAAAAGGCCGCCGAAGAAGCCCATCAGTCCAAGAAGGCAGCGAAGAAGGGCGGTCGCGAAAAGGACCGGCGCTAACGTCGCAAAACAAAGCATGGGTGGTTTGTCTTACTGCTGGTTGAAGAGGCGCCCGAAGAGCCCCATGGACTTTTCGGGCGTCAAAAACTTAAAGTCGCGCTCTTCGCCGAGGAAGCGCGCGACCGTGTCCTCAAACGCGACCGCGGCCTTGTCCGTCTTGCTCGCGATCACGGGCTGGCCCATGTTGGACGAGTTGAGGACCTGCGCCGACTCGGGAATGACGCCGACGACCGGCAGCGCCAGCATCTCTTGGATGTCCTGGAAGCCACAGCTGAGAAGAGAAAGGATTTGGATGGAAATCCTACCTCGACCGAGAGACACTCTTCGTTCGAGACGCGCTTGGCGTCGTAGCGGTTGATGAGGAGGTACTGGTTGACCTTGGCCCGGCCTTCCTGGGCGCGCAGCGACTTGCTCGCAATGAAGCCGATCATCTTGTCCGAGTCGCGGCACGACGAGATCTCAGGGTTGGTCACGATGATAGCTTCGTCCGCGAAGAACATGGCGTGGCGTGCGCCCGACTCGATGCCCGCCGGCGAGTCGCAGATGATGTAGTCGAAATCCTGCTTGAGCTCTTCGAGCACCTACGACGTCCTACTGAGCATGCGTACCGAGCAGCGGTGGCGCTCTACCTTGGCGACACCGTCTTCCGTGAGCGCGTCCTTGTCGCGCGTCTGGCTCGCGGCCAAAAGCGACAGCTTCTCGAGGCGCTTGTCCTTGATGAGCGCTTGGCTGAGGCGGCAGTTGCCGTCAATGACGTGGATAAAGTCGAAGATCACGCGGCGCTCGCAGCCCAAGTGAATATCAGGTTGCGCAAGCCAATGTCAAAGTCGATGAGGCACGTGCGGTAGCCCTTCTGCGCCAGGCCATAGCCGATGCTGGCCGAACACGTCGTCTTGCCGACGCCGCCCTTCCCGGACGTCACGACAACGACCTTGCCCTGGGGCGATCCGCCGGCAGTAGCGTCCTGGTTGCCAAGGCCCGCGACCGCCGTGTAGCGCGCCACCGCCCGCGGCGCGAGCGTCTTGGCCGGATGGAGAGCGCGGAGGAGCAGCATCGTGGTAAAATTGTGGTGCACTTTCTGCATCTGGTTAAACCTCCAAAATAACATACACGCAAACATCAATTGCGACAGGTTTTCCGGTTTCAACATTGCTGTTCTGCGGTCGACGCTTCCCTCAAAGCATCGAGCTCTATGGAAAGCATCGTAGCTCTCGCCGTCAGTGATGGCACTTGGTGAAACGAGGCTCCTGCAAAGGCGCGCCGACGACTGCAGCGTCCAAGATCGCGAACCCCAAGCTCGTCGCGCAGCTACATTGGAGCGCAGAGAGGAGCTATCGAAACGGACATGTCGTCTATCTTCTAGCACTCTCGATCTCTCTTGCCTCTGGGCGGGCCTTCTATAAAGGGTCGGGCGAGGAGTCTCTTGGTGTGAAAACGGCTTGAAACCGAGGAAACCCCAAGCGTCGTTGGCGGCGTCCTGATTGTACGGCTCAATTCGGACACGTGTCCTGGTTTTAAATCGACTTGTTGTTTGTATATTGCGAGCGATGCTGTGAAACGCCCCGATCTTTGGATGGATCTTGGTGTTTGTATGCCGACGTCGCGGAGCGCGATGATTGGTGCGGAATGTTTCGCAGAAAGATTAGCAGCCAATCAAACGCGAGGGCTGGACCCGACGCTTCGATCTTGGAGAGGTTCCAGCGCCCGGCAGCCAAAGACCCACTCTCACATTTTCTTCCGCCCCGGCAGAAGAGAACCAGCGCATTAGAGTCTTCTCCTCTCTTCCCAACTACAGGTACACGCCCAAGATGACGCTTGCAGCTGCTCATGCTCGCGTAGACCAATATGATGCGCGCGGCCACGATTGCCCTCCTTGCGTTTGCTGCGACTGTGCGCGCTCAATACGGCGAAACTGCGCCTGCCCCGCAGGGCTATGCCGCGCCTGCTCCCCAGGGCTATGCTGCGCCTGCCCCGAAGGGCTATGCTGCGCCTGCCCCGCAAGGCTACGGCGCACCTCAAGGGTACGGTGACGAGGCCCAGGGTTACGACGGCTACGAGCCGGAAGCGTATGGCAACCATGACGACGGCTACGGCGGCTACGAGCCGGAAGCGTACGGCGACCATGACGATGGCTACGGCGGCTACGAAACGGAATCGTACGGCCACCAAGACGACGGCTACGGCGGCTATGAACCGGAATCGTACGGCCACCAAGACGACGGCTACGGCGGCTATGAACCGGAATCGTACGGCCACAAAGACGACGGCTACGGCGGCTACGAACCGGAATCGTACGGCAACGAGGACTACGCCCCGGCGCCCAAGGGCTACGCCAAGGCGCCCGCCCCCGAGGGCTACGGCAAAGCTCCCGCGCCCAAGGGTTCCGGCAAAGCCCCCGCGCCCAAGGGTTACGGCAAGGCACCGGCCCCCAAGCCTTATGGCAAATACGAGCCGGAGCCGAACGACTACGACAACGGTGATGGCTACTACAAAAAGACGCGTGCCCCGGTGCCGACCTCGGAGCCGACCCCCAAGCCGACCCCCAAGCCGACGCCATACCCGACCACGTACGTCGCGCCGCTTACGCCGCCGCCGCCGTTCATTCCCCCGACGGAGACCAAGTACGGCCCCGCGCCTGCTCCCGCATGCGCGTCGACGTGGAAGCCGAACTCGGCCAAGTACATGGCGTATGTCTGCAGCTCGCTCTATGCGAGCGCGACCAAGTGGGCCTCGAACAACTGCAAGGCGTACTACACCGTGACGCCTGACTACGACGACAAGAGCTTGTACCAGGCGCAGCTCTGCACGTACTGGAGCCAGCGCAGTGTCTTCCGCGTTGTCACCTCGTGCTTCATCGAGGCGCACCTTCGCAACGAGTTCATCCAGAAGTACGGCAAGGCCGGGCCTGGCCAGTGGTTCTGCAAGTACACGGACTTTGTGAACCAGGTCAAGGAGTGCTACAGCTCGTCGCTCGACTGCTACCCGCTCGGCAAGTCGTTCAACTCGCTTGAGGCCCAGGTCGCGGCGCTCAACCCGCCGTCGACGTCCATGCCGCCGTTCCAGTTCACGGGCGCGTCCATTGCCATGTGCGCGTACTACAACAAGGACCAAGTCTACACGACGGCCCAATAAGCTTGATACGATACCATCATCAACACAAGGCGCACGGAAGTGAAGGGAAGCAGTGGCCTGTGGTGGGTTTTCAAGTATTTAACAAATGTTGATGTTTACCTAGTGCATATAAACCAAATTTCAATGTATCAACAACTGAATAGACAGAACGCGATCCTCGATTGGAAGCTTAGATTTCCTTGGCGTTGGTCGGCAACGCCAGCGCGCCTTGGAGGATGCTGTCAATGTCTTCCTTCTCAAAGAGGCTCGACGACCGCAGCGCACAGTCTTCAAGGCGGTCCGTCGCGCGGTCCACGATGCTCGTCAGGAGCGTGTCGTCAAAGCCGAGCTGGTGGGCGTCCGGGATGTTGAAGAGCAAGCCCACTTGCGCAAACCAGAGCGAGAGCGTCTCCGTCTTGTAGCCTGTGACGATGCTGAGCACGTTGTGGACGGCCTCGAGGCGCGCTTCGATATACGTTCGTAGTGGCCAATCGAAGCAGAAGTAGATCGAGTACCAGAGCATCAAAGTGGTGGTCGCCAGCGTTCTCGTCGAGAATCGACTCGTAGCGCTGGAAGACGAGGGGAAGGAACGCAGCGCAGACCTGGAGGTGCGGCGTGTCCGAGAGACCGCCGACGCCAATGCCGACCGAGTGCGCGGCGCCAAAGCCCGTCGCGCTGCTGGCGAGACTGCTGTAAAAGCTCGCCAAGCTCAGGCGCTCGCGGAACGCCAAGTCGTTCAGATGCAGCTTCCCATCTATGTGGATGCATATCGCAATTATAGACGACGACAAATCGTGGGCGGTGCAGAGTTGTTTGTACCTTTCAGCGGCGGGGCAAGCGCCTCCGCGGCCGTCCGGATGCCATTCAAGCAGATCTCGTCGACCTTGGCGTCGTCAACGTTCATCAAGAACGACTCGATGCACTGCCCGAGCGCTGTGAGCGCGCCCTGTGCTGTCAACCCCATGGGCACCGACACCGTCAGAATCGGGTCAATGATCACGGCCTACGCGCCCAAGTAGAGTGCAAGGTCGTCCGTGGTCGTTGTGCGTACCTCGGCAACGATGGGCGACTTCGTGAACGTGAGCTTGGCTTCCGCGCCTTCGTCCAGCACCAGCGCTTCGTTGGAGACTTCGCTGCCACAGCCTGCGACCGTCGGCATGATGATGAGCGGCGCTGCGCGGTGGGGCAGGGGCAGAGGGCCTTGCGCCAGGTCCTCGGCGTTGCCCTCGTTCGCCATGAGCGCAGCAATCGCACGCGATGTGTCCATGACGTTGCCGCCACCAAAGGCCACGACGCCGTTGGCGCCGACGCGGCGGGCGTGGTCGCGTCCTTGGTTGATCGAGTCGATCGTGGCGCAGTCGCGCTGCAAGGTGAACATGAAGACGGGGATGTTGGCCTTCTGGAGAAGAAACTGGGCGTACTGGGCGCGCTTCTCCGAGCCAGCGTCGCGGTCGCGCACGAGGAGAACCTTGGACATGACCTTGGGTGCGAGCACGGTGAGCTGTTCGGCGGCCTTGCGCCCAAAGATCACGCGGGGCTTCTGCGACGGGTGCAGCGACATGGGCGGCGCATCGAAAGCGAAGCGCGCAGCATCGGCAGCCGACGTGGAGAAGGCGGCGCGAAGCGGCCGCGGTCGCTGAAGGAGCCGTGTCAAGCGGCTCATGCTCTACGTGTGCGAGGAATTCGAGTGAATTGCATCCACCTCTTCGTCTCGATGTGCAACCCAAGAGTATTCCTTTTCAGAGGTTTTTGAGAAACGTGCCCGCGAAAACGAATGCGCATTTTTGGATTTCAGATTCATTCGACACGTCGTGGCAAAGCTCTTTGGCACCATTGCTCCGAATACAGCATCCTCTTTTACTGGAATATTCCAAGAGAATACTTATAATCGATTAGAAGACAATGCACAGAGATCGAGAGCGTAAGATCGTCACCGGCGCGTCACGCAGCTACATTTCCCCGGGACGCCTCGGCGCCGTCAACACAGGTGGTAGTCGTCACAAACAACATTTTTTAACAGGTGATCACGGGTCGAGGGTCTCGCGCTTGAGCATCTCTTTCCCAATGACGATACGCTGGATCTGGGACGGCCCGCCGTAGATCTGGTAAATCTTGGCGTCACGCATGAGCTTCTCGACCGGGTACTCGGTGTTGAAGCCCGCGCCACCAAAGATCTGGACCGCGTCAGCCGCAACCTGGTTGGCCATGTCGCCGGCAAAGCGCTTGGCCATGGACGCGTACATGGTGTTCTTGCGGCCACAGTCGATCTCGTACGCCGCCTTGTACGTCAGCAGACGCGCAGCCTCGATGTTGGTGGCCATGTCGGCAAGCATGAACATGATGCTCTGGTGCATCGCGATGGGCTGGCCCATCGTCTTGCGCTCGAGCGCGTACTTCTTGGCCTCCTCCATTGCACGGCGAGCAAGACCGACCGCGCCGATGGCGACCGGGGGGCGGGTGTGGTCGAACGCCTGCATGGCGATCTTGAAGCCGTAACCGGGCGAGCCAAGAACGTTCTCCTCCGGAACGACGACATCCTCGAACGTGATGCCACGCGTGTCCGAGCAGCGCTGGCCGAGGTTGATCTCCTTGCGGCCGCGGGTGATACCGGGCGTGTTGGCATCGACGACAAAGCCCGTGAAGGCCGAGCCGGCCGACGCCGTCGAGTCCGTCTTGGCAAGGACAAAGTACCAGTCCGCGACGCCGCCGTTCGTAATCCACATCTTGGAGCCGTTGATGACCCAGCTGTTGCCCTTCTTGACGGCCGTCGTCTTGGCGGCGGCAACGTCCGAGCCAGCACCCGGCTCCGTCACGCAGTACGCGGCCTGGCGCGGCGCTTCCGTGAGGCGGCCAAAGTACTTGGCGCACTGGGCGTCGTTACCCGCGACGAGCACGGGCGCCAAGGCCAAGTGGTTGGCCTCGATCGCGGTCATCATGCCCGTGCAGCCGTACGCAAGCTCCTCGCCAATGATGCAGCCGTCGAGCGAGCCGAGGCCCATGCCACCATACTTCTCCGGGATATGGCCGTTGACCAAGCCAAGTTCCCACGCCTTGTCGAAGATTTCCTTGGGGTACTCCATCGTCTGGTCGTAGTGCTTCTCCTTCGGGATCATCTCTTCGCGGGCAAACTTGCGCGCAAGGAGCTGGAACTCCTTCTGCGTATCCGTGAGCTTGAAGCTAATGCCATTGAGCTGCGACTCGTCGATGGACGCATGGGCGGCGAAGCCGCGGGCGAAGAGCGCCTTCTTGGCGGCGACGGAAACGTTGCGGGCCAGCATGGTGAAATTGCAAAGTGTGGACCCCAGAGTTAGATCCCTCGCGTTGACGAAACCAAGGTATTTTAACTGCGTCGTCGTACCTTTTTATGCATCCACCTTTATGTTCACTTGGTGTTTCTATGTACGATCGTCGATTCTACATAAAAATACAAAATCGATATGTATTTTATGCCGGCCACGGCCCATGTTGATGCATCATGCAATCCAAGCAACTTCAAGGTGCGTGTGGTAAGTAGGTGGGGCAAATATGTTTGTCCCGTTTTACCCTAGTTTTACCCCATACCCCAATCAGGCGTTTCCCCAAGCATGAAGGCCGGGGAAGTCGCTCCCGCGTATCATCATCAACCATCATGCATACTGGGCCCGGTCACCGCGTTGGTGTGGGGCGCCGGTCGGCAATGCTAGAATCTAGAGCTGCAGCTTTTTCACGGGAAGAGTTGCTCCTGCAAAGCATCAACCTATTCAGTCTCTGCAACTTCCTGGAGAGCAGATTGTGTAAGGTAGCGTCATTGGTAAGCATCATCGCTTTGACGAGTCGGTTTGAAAGACGATTGCAATACATGTACATGTACGTTTTTGTCAACCACGGGTGTGATAGATAATTTATAGGTAGCATCCCTGCTTTAGGACATAATACGGGCAGTCGGCTCTGGGTGGTAGCTTGAAGTATTCAACCCTGTATGGCGGCCCCTCGAGCAGCAATTTTTCAAGTTGGCGTCGCGGATCGTTGGAACCGGCGCGCGAATCTCCTATGGTTGCTCGACGGGTAAAACGTGTCGATGTTTTGCATTTGGGATAAACCTTGATGGACGCTGGGGCAAACCAATCGTATTCGTCCGGAAAAGATCTCTCGAAGGTTTTGATGGGAGACGCGTCCTGGTACCATAGCGCCTGCGTCAGCGTCCGCGCCGCCACGGGCCTCCCGCCGTACTGCCGCCACGTCATGTTGCACTTTGTCTACGAGCACACGACCTCGAAGCGCGTCTTGACCAAGAGCCCGCCGGCGACCGTCCGCCAGCATGGCATGGCCATCTGGACCGACGCCACCGCATGCGTGCCAACGACGAGCCCGTGCGTCACGATCGAGCTCTGGCACGCGCACCAAGACCACGACCTCTTCCTCGGCTGCGTCGACGTGGCGCTCACCAAATCACCGCCGACGCCAGGTACATATCGTCTACCACGGCTCGTACTGCATTATGCACTCAGTTGGATCCTAGAAGTGGGACCGATATGGGTGATGGTCCATGCTGCTCGCTACGAAGGCGTGCCGACGAGAGGCATGAGCTTGGAGGTGGTCGTCTCATACGTGCAAGCGAGCAATTTGCGCCGAACAAAGCCGGTCGAGGCGGCGCCAAGCGTCGTCGATCCCGCGTTCCGCTTCCGTGTGCCCCACTTGGACATCAACTGGGCCGATGTTGTCAGCACCAACGTGCACGAGATCTTCTTCCTCGTAGATGCGCGATCCTTTTGGACGTCTGACGCAAGCACTGCTAGGGCACGACCGAACCGCTCCTCGCGCTCCAGAGCACCGTCCTGTACGGCAACACGCTCGCAACCTTGGGTAAGAAAGACCTCGCCGTCTGGATTGCCAACCGCGCTTAGACATACCGGTCGAGAAGGACCACGAAAAAGCCTTTCAATTGTGCCAGTTTGCAGCCCAGTACCTCCAAAGCTGCGTCGACTTGCTCACCCAGCGCCAAGCGCAGTACGAAGGTGCTTTGACCGACCTCCTCCAGCGACAAGCCGACCTCCGCGACCAGCGTCAGGCCAAAGTACGTACTGTCGTTCGTATCGTGTGTACTATGCCGACGCGATGCAGAAGCACCTTCTTCACAAGCTGCGTAAGCAAGCCACCGACTGCGACGTGCTCCTCACGGCCTACGACGTCGTTGCCGCCAAGCTGCCACCGCCAACGGCAGCACCACCTCCAGCGACAAGAACCGTGCCACCGAGCGCTGCCCCGATCGCTCCTGCCGAGACGACACCGTCGCTGCCGTCGGTGGAGAAGACAACCGACCACGAATCGCTCAAGGCGACGGCCATGCTCGCAACGTACGAAGAACGCATGGAGAAGCAGCGACTCGCCAAAGAGGCGACGCGGGCCGAGCGCATTGAAGCCGAGAAGCGCCGCCTTCTGCAGACAATGGCCGAGCAGGCCAAGCAGCGCGAGTGGCGCGACGCCGTCGCGCTCCAGGACAGCGCCGCCGTGCACCGCGCGGCGTGCCGACTCCAAGCTTGGTGCCGACACCTCGCTTTCCGAAATCGATACCGGCGGGACCACCAGCGATTTCTTGCCGCGCAGTGCATTCAGGCCAAAGTTCGGCAGCGTCTTGCAACGCGTGCTGTCCTGCAACTCCGCCGACGCCGTGCGATTGAAGCTACCCAGGCGCACCTCCGGTACCAACACGTCCAGCGGGAGGAAGCAGCGCGTGTCGAGGCGCAGCGCCAGGTCGACATCAAGGCGCTCGAGCCTGTTCTGCTCTTGTGGAACGATCTCGAGCATGCATTCGCCACCGCCGTCGAAAACGGGACAGACGTCTTTGGCTTCTTTGACCGGAAGCGATGCGGCAGCGTCGATCGGGCGTCGTTTCGGCAGCAGCTGGCGCGGCTCGGCTTTGACGTGCCCCGCCCGGTTATCCGCCGGTACGAGACGCATGCAGCCTCGCGCTCATATTTATATGTAGGTTGATCCAGCAGATCCATGTCAAGAACCAGACTGAGTCGCCCCACCTTGTGTTTACTCGGCTGCAGTTCAACACGGCGTTTGGGCTCCAAGATGTGGTGCCACCACCACCCGCCGTGATCGAGCCCATTGCCGTCGTCGCACCGCGCGTGCAGGAAGACCACGTGCCATTGGACGAGACCCCACCCACGCCCACTGGCAACATGGACTCGATCGAGCACCTCAGCCGAGTCATCCACGCTCTCCGTGAACGCATTCTTGAGGCCGCGACCGCTCGCCTCGGACGCGGCACGTCGCTCTCGTTCGAGGCGATGAAGGCCGCACTCGCATCGGTCTTTGAGTCACTGGACACGGAGGCTTGCGGCGATCTACCTCTCGCGACGTTCCGCGACGGTCTGCAGTCGGCGCTGCACTTGCATTTTGAAGACGACGTGTGGGCGATCGTCGACGCGTGCTTGGATGTCGACGGCAGCGGCTCCGTTAGCATCACCGAGTTTGTCTCGTTTGCATTGACCTCGCCCGCGTCCGAAGAGCTCGGTGTGCTCGGCTATCGGCTCCGCGATGCGATTCTGCAGCGGGTCAAGGCTGCGCGCAAAGAGGCCGGTGGTCTCGAAGCCGCGGTGCAAGCCGTGTTTCGCCCGCTGTACAAGCACGCAACCGATGTCGCACCCGTGCCCGCCTTTTGCCACACGCTCAAGCAGCTGCACCTTGGGTTCTCGCCCGCGCAGCTCTCGCGCCTCGTCGTACGCCTCGACCATGTACGTACATGGCAGAAAGCGAAGAGCCAGCAGATTGGTGATGGATAGGACGGCGACCATACGATCTCGCTCGACGAACTCCTGCGCTGGCTCAAGCTGCGCTCGGGCCCCAAGGTCGTCGTCGCGCAGGAGCCACAGCCGCGCCTGAGCATGTCGAGTCTTGTCGTCAAGCAGGTCCGCGAGGCGCTGGTAGCGGTCGCGCATGCACGCCACGCTGGCAGCGTCAAGAGCCTCTTTGATGCGATGGACGCCAACGGCAGCAAGCAGCTCAACGCACGAGAGATCCACGCGTTTCTAAAGGAGCATACACCGCTGCCGTTTTCGGCCATCGATGCCGCGGTGACGTGCATGGACGTCGGGGGCAACGGCGTCGTCTCCAAGAGCGAGCTCGTCGCCTTTTGCAGCGAAGCGACCGAGAGCGAAGAAGTCGGCGTCCTCGCCGAGCACTGCCGCGCCGCGCTGGTGCACTTGGAGGTGCCAGCGCTCCAAGCGTGGTTTGAAGCATTGGACCCGACATCGCGTGGCCAAGTGCGCGTCGGTGAAGTCAAGAAGGCGCTCAAGAAGCTCGTGAAGCTTCACGACCACGAATTGGACCTCGTGCTTCTGCGGCTCGACAAGGACAAGAGCGGCGCGATCTCGACGGCTGAGATGCTCTCGTGGGTCCACCCTGTCCGGGACATTGAAGTACTCTTGGCGCTCGTTGAGAGCAATGCCTCGCTTCAAGATCTCTCGATTGAGGCATTGGTCGCCGTCTTGGACGCTGACGGCAACGGTGCTGTCGGCATCGACGAGCTGCACGCGGGCCTGAATTTGTTTGGACTTCGGCTGCAGCGCGCGGAAGCCGCGCTGCTACTGGACGAGTTTGACATTGATAACGACGGGATTCTCACCAAGGGCGAGCTCAATGCGATGCTGACGAGCAACACGAAGGACACTTATAGCAGTGACGAAGACGAAGGCAATGACAGAGATGCCCCAGACGATGCGTATGGCTATGGCGAGGACGGATTTGACGACGAGTGACTACTACTACTCATCAAAATCAAACACGTTGAGAAGACACTGCGGTGCTGCTTTCTTGGACCGCGCCTTGCGTTCGAGTACGCTGCTCTTGCGCTGCTTTTTGCAGCTGCCGGACGAGGCGACGGGCGTCCTCACGGTCGTCGGTGTGCTGGATCGGCGCTTGCTGGGTGGCCGCGGCTTGCGTCGCGCGTCCAACTCGGTGACGGCAAAGTCCCCATCGTCGACTTGCTCGAGCACTGGCATCGGGGTCTTGGGCGACGGCGTCGGTCGGCGCTGCCCGATCGACACCGTCGGCGTGCGTCGGTGCGTGTTTCGACTTGTCGACAGGTCGTCCGAGTCGTCGTCCACTTCCACTGTTCGATGCACTTGGAGCCGAAAGGCATCGGCGGGTGGCGTGGACGGACATGTCGGTGACGGACGTGGTGGTCGCTTTGGCGGTGACGCGCTCCGCGGTGGTGACGCGGCGGCGATTTTAGCGTAAATGGCGGCGACTTCGGCGTCGGGTCCGGCCACAGCCGCTTGAATCGCCGAAAGCGCCGTCTTGTCGCCCTCGAGGCGCTTGAGCTCTGTCTCGACTTGAACGCAAGTCGCGAGGATCTCGGGTGTGAGCGCCCCAATGTGCGCGTGGAGCTTGGCAAACGCCAGCAGCGAGGCGAGAAGCAACGAAAACGACTGGTTGGGTAGCGCTTGGCGCACTGCGTTGGCGTCGGCAGGACGATCGCGCACGAGGCAGCCGAGGAAGAGCGCCATGGACCCGCGCAGGACCACGTCTTCGGCCGAGACGGTGCCGTGTTGCGTCAAAAAGCCCATACAGTGATCGACGAGATGCTTGGAGTCGCTCCAGACGTCGGCGCGGTTGCGCGCATCGAGCTCGACGCAGTTGATGAGCGCACTGAGAAGAAGAAGCACGAGGTCAAAGTCGGACGACGTGGATACCAAGCTGCAGAACGTCGTCGTCAAGGCGCGTGCGCCGTGCAGGTTGGCAATGATTGTGCAGGCGTCGGCATTCTTGTGCGTCAGGTTGATGACCAGACGCAAGGCACAGAGGTACTGCTCGGCATCGTCTGCCATGGGGCTCGCGATGAGAAGGCCCTGGAAGAGCGTGGGCAGGACGGCGGTGTGCGTCACCAAGTAGGCTTGGTTCAACGGGTCGAGGTAGGACGCTTGGTCGAGCACACGAAGGCTCACGCTCGATAAACCGCGTCGAGCGATGATGTCGAGGCCGTGCTCTTCCCGCAGCAGCTGCTTTCGGGTTTCGACCACGCGAGTGGCCGTGGGTGCGGCGGCGACGCCAAAGTGACTCTCGGCCTTGTCAAGCAGCGTATTGTACAGAATACCAAGCACGATTTCGCACAGCGATAGGCTTGGCAATGTCCGAAACGACGGCTCGAGGCGCAGAAGCGCTTCCATGTCGTCGCGGGGTGTTGTCGATGCTCGCTTCGTCGTCGTCTTCTTCTTCTTGACCAACATGCGGGCGCGGGGCGTGACGACGGTGGTAGGTGATGGCGTCGCATCGGCTACAAGCGTCCAGTGCTTGGCGTCGTCGAGCTGCAAGACATGGAGCACCGCGCGCAACGCCGGCGTGGTCACCGCGTCGGCGTTTTCGCGGTCCAGTGTCACAAAGTAGAGCAAGCCCATCATGCAATAGACGAGCGCGTGGTCTCGACTCTCGGGCGCGAGGATCTCGATGAGGCGAACGCAGTCGGTGAGGCCACCTTGCGCCCGGAGGAGGAAGCGGCCCGTCATCGCCCCGTTGACCGCCGGACCTGTCGCCTGTCGCGGGTGATGGCTTGAGCACATGGTGGCTAGCGTGTACGCGCTCGCGGCACAGCTGGCATCGGTGCCGCCTTCGAGACCTTGAAGGAGGTACTCGACCTGCTCGCCAGCGGTCGTGCTGCCGCCATGGTGCTGCAGGTGCGCGGTGGTTTGCATCCGGTATGTACACGCACAATCGCGGATTGGATGAAAATCGAAACAGCGAGCGAATCCACATCCAGCATTCGAAATTTACAGCCAATCATACGACGCGATCGAGCATTCGAATTTTCCCTCGCTTTCGTCGACGGAATCTTCCAGCAGCGGCTTCCTCCTACGCGTCCATCGGTCAATGTAGCTGGCGCGCATGGGCATATACGGTCTAGGAAGGCAGATACGCATGGCACTGCTGCTGCGATGGGCTATCGAGGATATGACCATTCTTCGCCACCCGCCAAGGCCATGGGCGGGAAATGCTAGGAACGTGAGCCCAAGTCCATGCCAGTACCACGTCGCTTCAGTTGCAAGGCGTTGTGCTGTAGCTACTCGTACGAGTACGCGCCATGGCGTGGCCTTTGCTTGCGGATTGTCGTCGTGTCGCTACGGTAGTCGACATGTGGGGCGACATGGAGACGCACGTCACCGCCCCATCTGCCACGGCAATGCTCTATCACGCAGTGCATGGTCTGCATCATCGTCGTGCCTCTAAGCTTCATGGATGTCGTCCACGTCGGCGGCGTCCATGGGCTTCCGTGGGCAGGACCAGAATGCAAGATCCTGACGTGGCCGATGGAATCTGGGACATGTGGTGGCGGTCGAAGGAATCAAGTTTGAGAGGCTTGAAGCGGACTTCGATCAAGTTTCCGAGGTAGCACCGGAAGCGCCGGATACGGGCGCGGTGGCTTGCGTTGGCTACGGCGCCCTCCGGATAATGGCCAACCCTACCCACGTGCGTTCGAAATTCGAAATTCTATTTTTGTGTGGTTCCCTTGGGCCCAGTGGCGAATTTGCAGGGACGAACGCAAGCAGCAGCAACATGGCCGACGACAAGAAGTACCAGGACGACGAGCTCCTCGACTACGGCGAGGACGACGAGGTCACGACGACGGCCGAGAAGGCCGCGCCCACGGAGACCAAGAAGTAAGACGCCCATGATGCGATCGCCGGAAGCTAATCACCTCCAAGGGGCCACTACGTCGGTATTCACAGCGCTGGCTTCAAAGACTTCCTCCTCAAGCCCGAGTGCTTGCGCGCGGTCGTGGACTGTGGCTTTGAGCACCCGTCGGAAGTGCAGCACGAGTGCATTCCCCAGGCCGTGCTCGGCATGGACATCATTTGCCAGGCCAAGTCGGGTATGGGCAAGACCGCCGTCTTTGTTCTCGCGACGCTGCACCAGGTGCGTACTCGCACGTCGTCGCCGCACGGAGCCTAATCTCGCCTTGCAGCTCGAGCCCGTCGCCGAACAGATCAGCGTCATTGTGCTCTGCCACACGCGCGAACTTGCCTTTCAGATTGCCCACGAGTACGAGCGCTTCAGCAAGTACTTGCCGGACGTCAAGACGGCCGTCTTCTACGGCGGTGTCCCGATCGTCCAGAACCGCGAGACGCTCAAGAACACGCCCCCTCACATCCTCGTCGGCACGCCAGGCCGCGTCCTTGGCCTGCTCAAGGAAAAGACCTTGAAGCTCGACAAGGTCAAGCACTTTGTCATGGACGAGTGCGACAAGCTGCTCGACTCTGTTGGTACGCGCGTCCCGAGCACTACCACCGGTGGGCTCATTCACGCCGCTAGACATGCGCCGCGATGTCCAGGACATTTTCAAGGCGACGCCCCACGACAAGCAGGTCATGCTCTTCTCGGCCACGCTGAGCAAGGAAGTGCGCCCCGTGTGCCGAAAGTTCTGCCAAGACGTACGCTACCATCGCGACGGCTGTGATGGATTGCTCATGGCGTGACATGTGATTAGCCCATGGAGATTTACGTGGATGACGAGACGAAGCTCACGCTCCACGGTCTGCAGCAGTACTTCATCAAGCTTCAGGAAGCGGAGAAGAACCGCAAGCTCAACGACTTGCTCGATGCGCTCGAGTTCAACCAGGTTGTCATCTTCGTCTCGAAGAAGAACCGCGCCCGCGAGCTCAACCGCCTCCTCAACGAGTGCAACTTCCCGGCCATCTGCATCACGTCGGACTTGGCCCAGGACGAGCGCATCAAGCGCTACAAGAGCTTCAAGGAGTTCCAGAAGCGCATCCTCGTCACGACCGACTTGTTTGGCCGTGGTATGGATATCGAGCGCGTCAACATCGTCATCAACTACGACTTCCCCAACGACAGCGACCAATACTTGCACCGCGTCGGTCGTGCCGGTCGCTTTGGCACGAAGGGTCTCTCGATCTCGTTCATCTCGTCGAACGAGGACTCGGACATGCTGGCCAAGGTCCAGTCGCGCTTCGAAGTCAACATCCCCGAGTTGCCGGACCAGATTGACATCTCGACCTACATGAGTACATAGGCATCCAAGAGCTCGCTTGCGGCCGCGCTTAATTTGATAATACCAGCTTGACCCGACCGCCACTCGACCCTCCTTATTTTGAACCAATATAAATATTCCTCTTATTCTTGCTTTTGCTCTGCCTGCCTGTATGCTGTCATGGAATAGCTCCTCTCCACCGTCAGCGTGCGAGCGATCAGCTGCGGGAAGATCGCCAGCATGTTGACGCAACAATCCGTCCAAGCCCTTGCGCGCAAGTACGCATGCATTAAAGCTCTTCTGCGCGTGCGCATCGTGAGGAAGGCGCTTCATATTCGTGTCCAAAGCGTTGGATCGCGTGTTGCGATGTCGCTGCATTGACGCCGATGCATGCGTCGCCAGCGGAATTGTCGTCGGCGTCGACTGCGAGCAGCAGGCTCTAGGCGCTGTTCCGATCCAGTGCAAAAAACAGAATCCCAATGTTTCGCCCTGTCCGCACGCTCCGGCCGCTCGGCTGCGCCCACTTTGCGGGCTACGCCAAGGTCGACGACGCGGCCTTCCAGGGCCTCAGCTTCAAGCTCACGGACACGCAGCGCGAGATGCAACTCGTCGCACGCCAGTTTGCCCGCGACGAGATGATCCCGGTCGCTGCCGAGCTCGACCGCACGATGGCGTTCCCGCACGAGATCTTTGCCACGGCCCACGGCCTCGGCCTGCTCAACGTGCACGTTCCGGAGAAGTACGGTGGCCTCGGCCTCGGCGCACTCGACGGCGTCGTCATTGGCGAGGAGCTTTCGTACGGCTGCTCGGGCATGACGGCGGCCTTCGAGGTGAACAACGTGGCCGCGGCGCCGCTGCTCCTCGCGGGCACCGAGGCGCAGTGCGCCAAGTACCTCGGACGGCTCGTGGAAGCTCCTCGCCCGGCGTCGTACTGTGTAACCGAGGCCGGCGCGGGCTCGGACGTCGCGGCGACCACCACGTCGGCCGTCCAGGTCGGCAACGACTATGTCCTCAATGGCTCCAAGATGTGGATCACGAACGGGGGCTTTGCCGACTGGTTCTTTGTGCTTGCCAAGACGGACAGCGGCGCGTCGGCAGGCTCGGCCTTTACGGGCTTCATCGTCGACGGCAATGCGCCTGGCATCACCCGCAGCAAGAAGGAGATCAACATGGGCCAGCGCTGCTCGGACACGCGCAGCATTCACTTTGAAAACGTCGTCGTTCCGAGCGAGAACGTGCTCGGGTCACCAGGCTTTGGCTTTAAGATCGCCATGCAGGCCTTTGACCGGACGCGGCCGCCTGTCGCCATCGGCGCGGTCGGTCTTGCTCGCCGTGCAATGGAGGAGGCCAAGAAGTACGCGCTCGAGCGCAAGACGATGGGCCAGCCCATCGCGATGCACCAGAGCATCATGTTCATGCTCGCCGACATGGCGACCAACATTGAGGCTGCGCGTCTGCTCACGTACAAGGCGGCGTACGAGATTGACTGCGGCCGCAAGAACACCATGTACGCGTCGATGGCCAAGCGCTTTGCCGGCGATACGGTCTACCAGACGACGCTGGATGCGGTCCAGATCTTTGGTGGTGCGGGCTTCAACACCGAGTACCCAGTCGAGAAGCTGTTTCGTGACGCCAAGATCTACCAAATCTACGAAGGCACGTCGCAGATCCAGCGGCTCTTGATCGGCAAGGAAATGTTGTCCCGCTCGAGCCTGGCGCCAGAGTAGCAACCGAGCACGAGAGAAGAGATCGCGGCCAGTGTATTCAAGTGACTTAGTCGTGTTTGGCCTTCTTGGTCGGTCGCGAGATCGCCCGCATGCCCGCCATCTTGGTCGTGTACTTGTCGTTCATCCTAAACGCATCGAGATGAGCAGTAGCACGATGGGATGCAGAGCCTACTGGTCGGTGCGCTTGAGCGGGTTGAGGTAGTCGGTCGTGTCTTGGTCGACCAAGTGCGTATACTTGGTCCTAGTATCCGAGGTGAATGCACGAGCAGAGGCAACGATGGCGGTGTACCGGCCGGCCTTGCCAAAGTTCTTGACTTGGAGCACCTTGGGCATGACCTCGTAGTTGTGGCGATCTTCAAGCGTCGGCGCGTCTGCTTCTCGCTTCCGCACGTCGGACGGGTCGCGCGCCAGACTCTTGTCGTCCATGTAGAACGCGCCCTTGTGGTAGTACTTTTGCATGAACTTCCACTTGGCTTTTTCTTCGTCGTCCTTGAGCTTCCCGGACGCCCTGCATAACACATGTCGTAAGGCCTCTGCGGTGGCCTATCTGCAGAGTCACCGATCTTCAGCTTCGCGCTCTTCGTCCGTAAGGTTGCGCCGACGCAGCGTCTCGGCAATCTCGCGCTCACGCTCTTGCCGCTCGTCCTTGTCTCGCTTGAGCCGGCGCATCTCGCGGAGCTCCCACTCCTGTCGCTCTTTCTCGGGGTCGACGTTGTCCGTGTCGTCGGGCATGTCGTCAATGTCGGTCGTCTCGTCGGTCGTGAGCTCCTGCTCGCGCTGGAGGACTTCGGCCACAAGCTTGCGCGACTCGGACTTGCGTTCGACCATCTACTCGCATAAGCTTAAGAGAGGCGATTGCATCGTCAGATCACCTTGGCGGCTTTTTCTTCTTCCTTCTTCTCTTGCAGCGCGAGCTTTTCTTCCTGGGCGCGGATCGTATCGCGGGCGGCCTTGGGCACGAAGACTGGCTTGAGCATCTGCTCATCCTCGGACGTGTCCGTGTCCGTCTCCCACTCGGACGACGACTCGTGCTCGGACGCCGTGTCGTGGGCATCGAGCGCGACCTCGCGTCGAGGCCCCGTCGGCAGCGGCAACGCAATGGCATTGGCCTCTGGCGCCGCCTTTTGCTGCGCGAGGGCCTTGGCACGCAGCCGCGCGCGTCGGTCGTCTTCGACGTCGCTTTCGCCCGAGTCCGAGTCGAGCAACGGCGCGGCCTTTTGGAAAGTGCTGGACGGCGCAGCACGGGGCGCCGCCGCCTTGACGACCGTCGCCTCGATCTTCCTACGCTCGGGCTTGGCGATCTGCAGTGCCTTTGGCGCCGGTCGCGCAGGCGTGCTTCTGCGAAGAAAGTCGCTCGCCCTACCTTCGTCTTCCATGAGCTCGCCGAGCGCGTGCTCGGGCACATGGCCGGCCCGGTGGCGCAGGACCTTCTTGGACGTGTCGAGCTTGGGCTTGGGCGCTTCGTACGTGTCGGTGACTTCGTTCACACGCGTGTGCTTGAGCGAGATGACATCGCCGGGCTCATCGTCCGGCAGCAAGAGCCCCAGGTCCTTCTTCCCAAACGTGTTCATTGCGCTATGGCACGAACGGCGCGTTACGATTCGGCAGATGCCACTATTAAAAGGCAACCACCCTTCAGCGTATCGCCTCGACGAGACCACAGCGTTGCGCGTTGCAGGTCCTCACACAAGGCTTCTAACCTAGATTTTTTAAGCTTATGTGTATAACATCATTGTCGACGGAGCACGAATGCACAGGGGATGCAATGCGATGGCGCGCGGATCGGTGTCGGCTATTCAATTCGGCACACTGCCACTTTTAAAATCAGGTACTGTTGAAGTCTCTAACTTAATATCTTGCATGACTCGGTAGTACAGGATATCGATGCTAAGAGGCAAAGATACCGCTTAGTTTGTGGGCGCAGCAACCGGCCTACACACCAACCTGCCCGCGCGATGCTCGACCTGCACCTCCGCCACGACGCGCTGCTACCGTACTCTGTCCTGATCATCATGGAGATCGCGCGCCTCATCGCCTGCCTCGCTGTCGTCGACCAGCGCGCGACGCTCCAGCTCAAGCTCTCGCGCATGTGATGTTGGCACGTTGCCTCGCTGCTGCAGATGCACTGCAATTCAACCGCAATAATTTACAGCTTTTGCACCCTGTGCTGAGCGTACCCTGGATGGTGGCGTGGCCTCGTGCCATGGCCAAGGCGATCCATAGCCCAAACAAACCCCTGTCTTGGACGCAGCGACAGCATGCAGTGGTAAGCAAGACGACGTGGCGCAATGTACAGCGTACGAAGCATCACAAGCGCCGCTTCTTTTACGCCGTCGGCTGGCTGGGATCAGCTTCAAGCGCGCCGTGTCTTTAGACTCCATTCAGGCCATACAGGCGCCGACCGACCTCAAGTTAGACGCACGCAACTTTGAACCGTCACACGCAACTTTGAAGCGGTGGTCTTTCCTCTATAAAGCAGGTGCACGTACCAAGCGCAGCTCACACATACTGCAAGCATCATCCCCATGCGCTCGTACAAACCTGCCACACGATGTCAAGGAGACGACGCCGTCGTGCTCGACCGTAGAGCTCCCTCAGGCTAACGTCATCAAAGGCGCTGCGAGCAGAGCTGATATCGCCAAGACACTCCACTGCGACTTAAAGGAATGAGCACCCTCGGCTTCGGTTCATCCTTTGGCTCTCACAACCCGATCTTGTTCCTCGCACCTCTTGGGACCGAGTTTGGCTGCGCAATGGCAATAGTAGGACCGGTGCTGTGCGCAGGTATCCTCGTGTCGGATGAGGCGATCGGGCCACCACTGAGCTCGCAACGTCTGTCAGCCGTTGATATGTCATGAAGGATCTAGCTGATGCCTCCCGACGTGGTTGCGCGAGAGAAGAGCCACGTAGCTGGAGGTTCAAGCTGCAAAGTTGCGTGCCACTAGCCAAGCCACCACGGATCTTGGTTCCGGTATAAAGTGCGAGAGGTTCGCAGCGTGAGGTTAAAGGCTGGCGTCGCATTTCGAGTTTGCGGCACGATGGCAGAGTCCAAGTCGGAAGGGATCCCATACATTGGGTCCCGCATTAGCTTGATCTCCAAGACAGATATCCGCTATGAAGGCCTCCTCTTCAACATTGACACGCGCCAGAGCATGGTCGCGCTCCAGAACGTGCGCTCCTTTGGCACGGAAGGGCGCCGGCCCGACCACATCCCGCCGTCCGATACGGTCCTGCAGTATGCTACGTTCAAGGCGTCCGAGATCAAGGATCTCCATGTGTGCGAGGCAGCGGCCCCGCCGCCGCCGCCGCCCATGATGCCGCCCCACGCCATGCCGCCTGCCATGCACTACCAGCCGCCGCCGCCGCCCCTTCCGCGACAGCCCGAAGTGGCGCAGCCCACGGCTGCCCGCCCGACGTCGCCTACGAACGCCTATGCAGCTCCGGCCACTTCCTCGACCCTCCTTACCCCGGGTGCCATGTCGACGGCCCACTCGGTCGCGGCCCAACAGGTCCAGCAGCAACAGCAGCACGCGCCCTCCCCGCGACAGCCCGAACGCCAGGACCAAGGTGCTCAGAACGGCGGCAACCGCACGATCCCTGGTATGGGTGGGCATCTCTTGAAGCGCAAGGAGCGCCGCGTTGGCGCGGACACGGGCATGACGGACAGCGAGATTGCGGCCGAGTTTGACTTTGCCGTCGGTCTCACGGATTTCAACAAGGAAGACGAGTACAGCAAGATGAGCATGACGAACGCGGAGGCTGTGCGCCCCGTCATCAAGGTATGTACTAGAGACTGCGATGGCCCGCTCTGACCATGCCATAGGGCTCGTACCAAAAATCCTCGTTCTTCGACACGATCTCGTGCGACGCGCTCGACCGACTGGAGGGCGTCAACGGCCGCCTCCGCGCCCACGAAGAGCGCAAGCTCAACACGGAGACGTTTGGCGCCGTCGGCCTCAACAACCGCCGGGGCTACCGCGGCAACCGCAACAACGGCAATGGCAACGGCGGCGGCAACCGGAACCGGAACGGGGGCAACGGCTACCCCACGGACCCGCGCAACTACGGTACCAGCAACGGCAACGGCAACGGTGGTGGCAACACCAACGGTAACGGCAACGGTAACGGCAACGGTAACGGCAACGGTAACCGTAACCGTAACCGCAACAACGGTGGCACTGGCGGCAACGGCCGGGGACAGGGCCGCAACCAGAACAACGGCGGCCGTCAGCCCATGTACCAGCCCCGCGACCAGCAAGCATGAAGGACGCGCATAGAAGCAACACCGCGCATACCAGAAGCGATACCTATGACTAATACAACGTGTTGCTCTGGCTCGCAAACGACACAGTTGGTTCTGCGCTGAGAAGCTTGCACTCATAGTACGCCAAAAACTCAAGGTCCTTATTCCCACGCGCTACGGACATGCGTCCTGAGGACCACTCCCGCTATGCTCTGCAGTACCGCCAGACCGCATGCCACCGCACGTTCTGCCTGCACCGTCTTAGAGCCGTCGCAGTTAGCACCCGGCTCTACTTTTGGCCGACGACGCTCAACTCTGCCCCGTGCGATCTCGAGGCGTAGAACCACGTTCTCTACCCCGCTGCTCAGCACCGACTGGCCCCTACCGGCGGCAACTGGCCTTCGATGACTTGCGCTCCTTCTCGAGCCGCCAGTGCTGCCCAAGGGTACCGCCGACGAGCCGGCACCATGTCGTGGCTGATCCTAACGTGCCTGCGTGATCCGCACTGACTGGTTCGCCCGCAACGGCCGAGCTTAGAGGCGCGTGTCGTGAAGCGGCTAGACCTACAGCTGCATTTTAACCCTTGCTACTGAACTTCATGCGATGTGTCTCTTCCCCATGATGACCGCCATGCACCACGACCACTGGCTCCGCGACACCATTGCGGGCAGGGCTGTTCCTGCGCCTCAATCGACAAAGTTCCAACCTCACCGTAAATGAACAGTTCAGTGGAAATAGTGGTAGTCAAATATCTCTGCTTTTCGCTGAATGACTGATTGTAAATTTGGCTCACTTCAACTTCGAGCAAGGGTCCATAAAAAGGCCCTGTCCGAAGCTATCGTCGCACGCCTCTTCTTTGCCACCAAGAAGTCTCCTGGCGAGGACTCCGTGGAGCTCGACAAGCAACAAGTTGTTGTTGAAGTGAGTAGGACAAGCAACAAGTGGTATCACCCCGCTTCGATTGATCTGGTCGAGCTCCAGTGTAACGTCGCCACCGACGCACTGTAGTAATCGCGTCCACGGCTGAGTCAGGTTGTGATCAATATACTCGCGGTTTGTATCCACATCCAAACCGCAAGATATGTTCGTGATCACACGATGTGGCCACCGACATCATCTGACGGCAACTGGTGCTGCACACATCGTCCAGGAAACATCGTCTGCATCACGAGTACATGTATCAATTGCACTGGATAGCTCCTTGGCAAAGCCACTTTCAGATACAAAGAGGTCATTCGGAAGCCGTTGCTGGGGCGAAAGACGCCAGAGAGCTACCGCCAGAGTGGTGTGAGTTGCCCTGGATTCGATCCGTCCACTCGACGCTGGCTACTTTACGTGACAGCACAATTACAACCCACAAGACGGGTTCACTACTGTAGCAAGCCCAAAGATTCCCTCGTGCCCGGGCCATTTCGACGCAATGTGTTTGTGGAAGCTTGACAGCGAGCTCAACTCTGTCGCCAACGCGTAATGCGAGGTGCCGCTGCCACGTGGTAGGAATTCACTGCGGCGGCGGCATGCAAGCGAACAAAGGCGAACAGATCTGCCTCGTGACGCACCGTGACCCTTGTCCAATCACCATGCACCAGCAGGCATCCTTCACTTGCTCCAAACGCGCGCAAGTCAGAATGGCTGGGTGCACTGGCCCGGTCGGTGGCTTTGACATCGCCATCATACGTGGTGTGTATATCCTCTTTCCATCCACCCGCTTGTTGGCAGCGGCGCGTCCGAACGTGTGGCGCCCACAATCCTCGGTCACTGGAAGAACGTAGGTAGCACACATCTGGTTCACTGGCTCCAACTGAACCACGCCGTGATCCTAGACTTGGCAGCCGAAGAAGACCGACGACGCATGTCCACGAACTTGATTCCTTGGCCAAGAAGGGGCTCAAACTTTTTCACCTCGCCTCATTGGTCCACTTTGGTTCGGCTGTCCAGCGGGCGAATGAATGATGGTGGCACCACGTGGCGTATGTCCATGGCCTTTGGAAGGACGGTAATCCAAGCGTCACCCATCTGCAAGCGCGGTGCATACTATTTAGGGCCCCGATCATTCCTTTTCATTCATTCACCAAGTTGCAACGACGAGCGCACATCAAAACCACCATGTCTGACCCGACCAATGTCTGCTGCTTCCTCGAGTGTGCCAAGCCCGCGCTGCCCAACGCCACCAAGTGTGCGTCGCATAAGAACAAGATCAAGTGCTCGATCGAGGGCTGCATGAACCAAGTCTACGCCCGGTACCTCTGCGTGCGCCATGGCGGCAAGAAGCAGTGCCAAACACTTGGCTGCCACGAGTTTGCTCGCGGCGGCCCGCACTGTGTGACCCACGGCGGCGCCATTGTCAAGCGCTTCTGCACCGAGCCCGGCTGCGATCGGCAAGCCCACGCACGCTACAAGTGCGTTCGGCACGGTGGCGGCCGCACGTGTCGAGAGAAAGGTTGCGACCTTCACGCGCGCTCGAGCGGCTTTTGCCACCGGCACACGCAGCGCAAGGCGCGCGACGTGATCAAGGAAGAGCCTCAAGCTGACAACGATGGTTTCACGAGCTTTCTGGACAGCACGCTGCTCGAGACCATTGCTTGGAGCCAGACGACATCGGTATCGACGGACGAGTCGCTGGACCACTCGATCTTGAGCCTTCTCTGCGACTCGCTGGCGAGCCCGAAGGCCCAAGCGTGCTTGGCAGTCCCGAGTCCCGTCAAAGTCTCGTCGGCACTCTTGTTTGAACAAGCGATTTAGAAAAGAGATATGTTAGTTAGTCGATATAGTGCTAGTTTAGTTTATAGGAAGCAATCCCATACGCGTGTATCTTCCAGTCGGGTTGCAATGGCTGCCAGAAATCAACGGCAAGTAGCTAAGGCCCGGCAAGCAACGAGTTAGTAGGTAGCCGGAGAACCAAGCGCCGTCAAAGTATTGACCGAACGGCGCCAAATAAAAGAGAGAAAACAGCAGACGCTGAGCGATTCGACGAACGGATGGTCGACGGACTCGCCGGACCCGACGTCGGCGCGCTGGAAAGCTCTACTAATCTGGTCACGTGGACCCATCTTCTGGTACTGCAAATGTACCACTCGTTTCCTTCTGCAAACCACACTGACCCTGCGAAGTGTACCACACTTTAACCTAGACCTACTGCACACACTGCGCAGGCGATTGGAAAGACGTCCTACTGTCAGAAGTGGTGGTCCAGTGGTATAAGCGAGCACGAGGCCAGTGAACCTTACATGCCGTGCGTCGAGCGACTGGACGTACTCGTGAGACTGACGAGCGGCTCGAGGCGCGGGCTCTGCCGCAGGCCGTGCCACTTCGCACGAGAGTGGGCTCACGGGACATCATGGGTGCAGGCTTGCTACAAATCATTGCCACGTAGCCCTGTTACAACGCCTGCTGACACCTCCAGCAGAGTGATGGTACGTCGTCGAGTGTTACCGCCATCGTCCCTTCGCAGACATAAGGCTCCCGTCAAGTAAATGGAAGGGAAGGAATAGCGTCAAAACGCGTTGCCATGCATCCAAGGTTCGGCGGTCCCTTCCTTGGACCCACCTTTGGACCTGGCGCTCTCGACTTGTTAAGAATGGATATGACAGGCGCTAAGAGCCGGGCGGTCGGCACAGCGATGCTCGTTGCATAGCAGGAGGCGGATTCTGCTGTAGTCGTCAGCGCCATGCACAGAGGTACTAGGAGAGACCGTCCTGTGCTAATACTCGTTTGTGACCTCGCAAATGCTGGTGGTATAAAGACATCGTATCTATCGAGTGGCCCTGCGAACGGCGGCGGTTCTTGGCGCCAGTCGAGTGCCTCTTCTGTGTCCTAGCTCTCGTTTCTCGAGTACACGCACTTGCTCGTCGACCAATGCAACACCACCACCAGACAGTTGGGCGCCTTTGATCGCGATTTCAGATGCGCTGGACGCTTGTCCTTCATGTCGAACTGGTTGCCGCCGATCCCAATACTCACGTCGACGATTATTGTGCTCCGATCCGTCCGGGACTTGTTTGGTACTTGCTGCAAGACCCCTCAACGCTTCGTGACGTCACTACGGTGGCTGCCTCAAGGGCGCGATGGCAATCGAAGGCTACTTGCATATTGGCTATGAATGATGTGTGGCATCAACGAAGGCTTGGTGTTGTGGAATTGAGCGACATGTTGGAAAGGAGGTGGTCGATACTTGCAATGCCCAGAGTGCAGACATTCAATCACCTTGGTGCTGACAACAATGGGCACGGAGGGTGTACGACACTCCCGCACACCTTCTCGTCTTCTGCTCACACCCTACTGCACGAATCAGCAAGTCCGAAAGCTGCTTTTCGCCGTTTCGAGAATCAAACAATTTCCCACACGGGTTCCGCGAAACGAATGGACATTTCAAGATACAGAGCAGTGTAGGGTCGGACACAGACCGTGGCGTCAACTAAAGTCGCCCCGGACGATCGACGTCGTTTCCTTTGTCTTTTTCCCGTGGAACTCAACAAGAACGAGTTCGCGCTCGGAGAGCTAGCATTTTCGAATGAAGCAGCCTTCGAGGATTGATGCCTCCACTACCGCTGCATCTCGATCGCAAACAACCGCCAAGCACGAAAGAGAGGAGCCCTAGGTAGGGAGGTAGGGGTACCCTGTCTAAAATGCATAGCGAAAATATGCTTTTGATGTTCTCTACGGATGGTGGAGAAAACAGCGCGTGTGCTTGCTACAGTATGCTGCATATCGCAAAAGGTGTACAAAACAGTGTCCGTACTTATTCCGAGCGTTCTTGGCCGCACAATGTGCACCACATATGTATTTTAACGTCACCGTTTCCACCATATGTGGCCGAGACGAGAATCATCAAACCAGAAAAAAAGGGTTGTCCAGACAAATATCTCACGAAGCAACCAAAAGTAGAAGCGCGGATGCAATTTCGTAGTCATCACACATTACATCTCTATAAACGCCCTCGCTTTGTGCAAGCGCTACCGCGGCTGGGACAACAAAAGCTCGCTAATACACTGTCGCAAAGCAGCCAGTGCATCGAGACGCATTCTACTGCCCGCACCTCCGCATCGTCATCATCTGATACATGCTCTGCACGACTTGCTTTACGTACATCGGCCATTGTTGTCAACTATAGCTTTCAATGCACGCTGCGTAGTGCACCCTGACCCAGCATGCGATGCAGCAGACAATCTATCACGCAAAAGCTCGCGTTTCTAACACAGAGTTATCGTAGTACATGGTGCTACGTGCTCGTGCTTGCCGGACAAATTTCTAACGTAGGATTGCTGCTGCGCAGTGGCACTGCGGCATCACATGCGATCCACGTTTGTGCGACGTTTTCGACGGTATTGCTGACTGATACCTTGCATTCATAATACAGCGTTCTGCAGATGGCCAAGATGTGTTCGAGTTGCTTAGTGTCTTGGTAGCCATTCGCCTCGACACGGTTTTTTCTTGTAGAGGTTTCATTGCGTAACGCACCATGTGGTGGGATTGGTACCCCTTTCTCGATAGCATACCACTAGATGTGCGGTTGTTAACGCCCGCGACGCCCATTTCGCTGCTAAAGGACTATCTACGCATCAGGGCATACCTCGGTGCCAAGGAAGTCATAGAGCACGGTTGTGGGTACCCTGCCTCAGTGCCCAACATTCCACCTACATTTGCCGCTTGAAATTTTGCGAGCGTCGACTCGATGCAGCGCATACGACGCGCCACGTAATAGTCTGCGTGATATTATGCGAGCCCGTGGCCGTGCCCTAGCATGGGGTACGAAAGATTGTGCTACAGGCATGAGCTACGGCGTGACGCGCCAGCGTAGTAAACCATGCATGGACATCTCTGGCGCAGGAAAGCAGTTGGCGACCTGACTCGATCGTCCACAGCCACAGCCAAAAGAGTGTTTCGCATGGTGTGTTGTTGTACCCATCGCTTCAAGACGGCATGCAACGCATCAGCACCGCACGGCGTCTCTTTACCGACTGTCTCAAGTGCCAGCCGTTGCCAGATCCTCCTCCTCGGCGCGTTGCAGCGTCTTGGTTGCAAAAGCATGCACAACATCCAGACACGCGTCGTAGAATGGACAAGAAGAAGCCTGGGTAGCGTACTTTGCAATTTGCTAAACTGGATGAAAATGATGTCGAGCCTCGAGATCACGTGCCTCTTCGCTGACTGTGCCAAGCCGATCGTGCCCGGCACGGAAAAGTGTGCATCCCACAAGAACAAGATCAAGTGCTCGATCGAGGGTTGTCCCAACCAGGTCTACGCCCGGTACCTCTGCGTCCGCCACGGCGGCAAGAAGCAGTGCAAGTCGCTTGGCTGCCGCGCCTTTGCTCGCGGCGGCCCGTACTGTGTTCAGCACGGCGGCGTCGCCGCCAAACGCTTCTGCACCGAACCAGGTTGCCACCGCCAAGCCCATGCGCGCCACAAGTGTGTGCGCCACGGTGGTGGCCGGCAGTGCAAACTGAGCGGATGTGGCAGCCATGCACGCCTCTCTGGCTACTGTGACGCGCACACGTCGACATGGACAGAATCGTTCGAGGCGGTCGACGAGTATACGCTTTTGCTCTGCGCTTCGGTGACGCCCATGCCGTTTGAGCCGTCGCGCTCGCTATTTGCCCCTATTGACATGGACGTCTTGCAGCTCTTGTGCTAGTAGGACATTCGACTAGAAGAAGCTTGTATTTATATCACTACACCACTAATGTTACTACCGTACTACCCAGCGAGTGTTGTTACTATCACAACGGTGTGCGATGTCGTGAGGCGCCTATAAGCCTCAAAACCAGCGATTACATTGTATCCACTTGATGAAGTCGAGTCGAACTGCTATCCGTGCTCAACCCTTGGTAGGAAGACATAGTTCTGCAACTTTATAAGAGCGTAGTCGAAACCGAATCCGGCATCGGGCTGCGTAGCTTGGCCGATCGTTCCATATTAGTAGGTAGTTAGTTGAACGTGCCTAGAGGGCGAGGATGGCATTCGCTGGCTCTGGCAGTCTCCGTTGGAGAGTGGTCCGTACACTAGTTGACGCCAGTGTGAACGAGGCTTGCACTCCCAGACGTCTGCCTCCGCGATGGATACGCCTAGTCGCTGCCGTTCGTCGCAACACGCTTTGAGTACTCCCAAAAACAGTTCAGTGTAAAATATATGTATCTAACAAATAGACTCACTTCAACAACAACAACGAGGCTTGCACTCGCACCACGGAGTGAGGACGACTGTGGACCAACGTCGTTGGGTGATCACGGCTTTCGCACGTGGCGGCGATCCCACAAGTTGATGGGTGGCTTTTGTTACCGATTGCATCGTCGTGGATGAGACTGAGGAGGAGCCGCCTGTACGTTGCAAGAGAGATGGAGACGGAAATAATCTCGTTCCAATGGCACGTGCAATAGCGCGATGTAATGCTCGCGTTTCGCCCAGCGATCGTTCGGTTTTTGCGGCCCATCAATGCCAGGCGCGCCGACCACATCCCGAGACCACGACGCGGATTGGTGGAATAGTGTATATCGTCAGAATCGTTGAAGGATGCTGGCTTTTGGTGCCAGTGCTCCCACAGGCAATCGCGTTTGATAGTTCCAGCGCCACGCTTTTTCGTTTGCCCCACTTTTCAACTTGGAGGGCAGCCACGCGTGCTCACATGCCGCCGTCGACCGTGTGCACCTTTACCGAGTGCAGCCGCCCCGCGATGCCCGGCGCCAACAAGTGTCTCGTCCACAAGAACAAGCTCAAGTGCTCGCGCGACGGCTGCCACAACCAGGTCTACGCCCGGTACCTCTGCGTTCGACACGGTGGCAAGAAGCAGTGCCAGGCACCCGGCTGCCGCGCGTCCGTAAGTCGCGGCTCGTTCTGTACCGACCATGGCGGAGGCGTCGCCAAGCGTCTTTGCTCGGAGCCTGGTTGCCACAGTCAGGCTCATGCCCGCTACAAGTGCGTGCGCCATGGCGGCGGCCGCGGCTGCAGACACAAGGGAGGGTGCCCCATGTATGCTCGGTATGGCGGTTTCTGCCGGCGCCATGCCACGGACAAGCGAGAGGAGCCTGTCGGGGTGACAGTGCCCTTTTTTGCGACGCCTGCGCCGCTGGAGAAGTCCGAGAACCATGAGTCCATGGACGACGGAATTTTGTACCATGCGATCGACAATGCGATCCTGACCTTGCTCTGCGAGTCGCTTGCATCGATGTCGCAGGGACAGCCCGGCATTCCGTGGAGCTCTCTTGTCGACGAAGCTCCGTCGTGCTCCATCTTGAGGTAGCAAATCATCGAGTTCAATTTATGCAGCGAATACCTACGTGTCATTTTTGCACACCAAACCATGTCTCTGGGTGTCTGTCGTTCCGGCGATGCAAGTTGGATCCGCAGGGAGCGCAGCCTTCCACGATCGCAAGCAGTAGCACACCAAGTCCGTCTTGCAATCGCTACTTGTTGAAGATTCGAGCTGGGCAGCTGCACGCACACACCAGAACAAAACAAAATGGATCTCTCCCTTTGTCGACTTGAGCGCATCTCTTGTTGCGATATTGCATCACACGCCTTGTGTCGTCCATGCGCCGATCGAGCCATGGCAGTCGATGGAGTCGCTGCAGGATAGTTTGCTGGATTGCGCTTCTCGCGACAAACGACCATCATTCTACGACGCTGCGATTGGTCCAAAGAACACCACCTGGCTTCTGGGGACAGATGCTGCGATTGCAAAACGCGCCTCTGAGTCGACCTCAAGAAATCGTCGAGAGCGTGGACAGCCGAGAGTGCACTTTTCGACTTTGCACCAAGTACCCGCGCCATCAACACTGCAACATGACCTCCATGCTGGACGTTTGCTCGTTTGCGGGCTGCAACCAGCCACCTCGGTTCGGCTCGACCAAGTGCGTCACGCATCGCAACAAGCTTCAATGCACGTTTGAGGGCTGCAAGAATCAAGTCTACGCACGCTACCTCTGCATTCGACATGGCGGTAAAAAGCAATGCGAGTACAGCGGCTGCGATGCGCCCGTGCACCGCGGGGCCTTTTGCGTCAGTCACGGCGGTGTCGTCGTCAAGCGCTACTGCACCGAACCGGGCTGCAGTCGTCAAGCGCACGCCCGGTACAAGTGTGTACGGCACGGTGGCGGGCGCACGTGCAGGAAAATGGCTGCGACGTGCACGCACGTGCGAGTGGCTACTGCCGGCGCCACACAACCCGACCTAGCACGAGTGGGACGACTCCTGTCGCCAAGAAGGTCGATTTGGCGGACCATATCAACGCCGAGCTGCTGCGCGTCGGCACTAAAGTCGCCAACCTCATGACCCTTGCCGCCCTCAGGGATTCGGCACCGCCTTTTGCCTGCGAAGAGTCCGCGCTCGATGCCTCGATATTGGATCTTCTCTGCGACGCGCCTCTCTTTGGCGAAGACTGTGACGTGCTACTTGGTGCTGAGAGCGATAGTTTGACGACATCAATGCTTCCACCGGTGGACTGGGCATCGACAGAATTCAATATTTCAATTTAATCAAGTGCAGTTTGCGTCCCGCTGAGCGAGATCGTTGTCCGCCAGCGCTGGCGCTTGCTGGGCCACGTGCTACGCCTGAAGGTCGACGTCCCTGCCAATCTACCGCTGCCTGCTCCTTGGCCTCGGTCTTTAGGCCGCACCAAGATCACGTAGCCGATCGTCCAGGACCTCCAGTCACTGACGCCGCCTCAGTCGATTGTGTCTGCTGAGGACCTCAGTGATCTGCGTCGCTTTGCCGTCGATCGCGACACCTCGAAGGACTTTACGGAGCGTGTCGTCATGGAACTCACTCGCGGCCGCAAGTGCCCCCGGGCGTCTAGAGATGAGCAAGATATACTGTCGTAGCCCAGCGAGCGAATGAAGAAGTACAGAAGTTCGCTAGTCTCTACTAGTACGCAGTATACCAAGCCGTTGGACAACCTAGATAACGCGAAACACGTTCCTATAAAGTTTGCGTCGTCGAAGGAAGCATATTCGCTATGTAGTGCAACCCTACTCCTACATGCAGCACAGACGGCGAGAAGAGCCTATCATGCGGTCACGCGCTCTAGTCGATGGGTACCTTGGGCCGTCTCGCCTATCATCAATCATCATCCTTCACGCCTGCCTATTTGCGACCACCCATCAATCTGTGTGCTACAAGCTTCAGGCGGACTTGGTGACGCTGCATATAATTATCTCGGTCGACGTTTCTTCCCGTGATCGGAAGTATCATCATCTCCCAAAGGGCTTGGCTACTCCTCGTGAGTGCTTTTGCACTGCAGGAAGTGGCAGAGCACATTCGAATGCTTGCATTGTTGGCGCGAATCTACGGTGCATAGATCTGCGCGGCCACGACGGGTGCGTGGATGTGCAGCTGCATCCGTCGCGCTGCGGTCGGCAGTCGCATCAGGTATGCACTCTGCTGGCAGTCGCAGGAGCGGGTAGAGTACAATGGAAAACGACAACTATTCATCGTCGCCACAACCATGTCCGAGCAAGAGAGCAAATCTGCGTTGTCGCGTCGCCTTCCTTGCCCCTTGTGCCTTCATGACAGCAGGTTCTTCAACGAACCCAAGTGCATCGCGTGCATCCCAATATCATGACGATGGAGAATGCCAGCACACCGCTCGTTCCCGCTACTTGCGGCGTCAAGATTGAACTTGCGCGTGACGCATACCGATCTCTGTGGTGCCGAGAAAAGGTTGCACACCGCTGGGTTCAGTGACCACGCCATGACACGCACTGGCCAACCAGTCACAATTTAGCACCTTAATTATCTTCTCACTTCGAAATCTTCTTCTCGCTGCCGAGTATGACCTGTACCTTCTTGGGCTGCGACCGACCGTCCGTGCCCGGCACCGCACGCTGCGTCTCCCACAAGAACAAGATCAAGTGTTCGATTGACGGCTGCATGAACCAGGTCTACGCGCGGTACCTCTGCGTCCGCCACGGCGGCAAGAAGCAGTGCCAAATGCTCGAGTGCGATGCTGCCGTGACGCGCGGCTCGTTCTGCGTCGAACACGGCGGGTCGGCTGCGAAGCGCTACTGCATCGAACTCGGCTGCGACCGCCAGGCGCACGCTCGGTTTCGCTGTGTCCGCCACGGCGGCGGCCGCCATTGCAAGGTGGACGGCTGCAACCTCCATGCGCGGTCGTCTGGTGCGTGCCACCGCCACATGCCGCCCCGCAGCGGCAGCACCAAGGCGAAGCCGCCTCGCCGGACACGAGCGGCGTTCTGTAGCACCGACCACGGCTTGTCGTATGATGACGTCAGCGCGCTCCCGGCGTGGACGACCCCTCTCGACGGCATCGACTACTCGATTCTCAACTTGCTCTGTGACGCCCCCAAGCTCTTGGCCGGTCGCGGCAGTAGTCCTCGCACCGCGCACTATGAGAGCTCGTACTGTCGATACAGCGGAGAAGACTAACGTAAACGTACGTCTTGGTATTACTCGAGTCCTCTTGCATTCGCCGCCAATCACCGTTGGACTCGGGTGCGGGCGAACCACTGGAACTGATCCGATTGCGTGCTCGCAAGTGGTCAGCGCAGGCACGTTAAGGATGCGTGGTCGTGGTCGGAGATGTGTTAAAACCAGCGAGAGGGCATGACACCTCACTCATATATTTGTTCCCGCCCATCCGCCCAGCACGAAGAGCACGTGGCGTACGGCCATTGGCACCAGGTATACGTGCATGTGGTCAGCGCCACGCCTGCCACGTCACACCTCGTCGGAACGCCAAAGCGCCTTTAGCACCGCGCCCCTGCATGTTTGTCTCGAGCTTCCCGAACGATAGCGCTCGTAACGACAAGGGCTGTAGCGTTCGAATAGCGAATTGTACGTGGCAACGCTTCGTTGCACGACGACGTGGTTCCCGCCATCTACCATCATTCCATTTCGACTGGCCGGCATGAATGATGGTCTATTTCGCCCGATGGCGGTGATCACGGGTGCACTTTTCAATATTGACATCCACCCAAATGACACTTGCCTGCTTCTTCCTCGACTGCCATCAACCCGCGCTGCCAGGAATGAACAAATGCGTCATGCACAAGAACAAGCTCAAGTGCTCGATCGACGGCTGCACCAACCAGGTCTACGCGCGGTATCTCTGCGTGCGGCATGGTGGCAAGAAGCAGTGCCAGGCGCCCGGCTGCGACGTCGCCGTGAGCCGTGGCTCGCTTTGCGTCGACCATGGCGGCGCCCTCGCCAAGCGCTACTGCACCGAGCCAGGCTGCGATCGGCAAGCGCACGCGCGTTACAAGTGCGTGCGCCACGGCGGCGGCCGGCGCTGCAAAGTCGACGGGTGCCTTCTCCGAGCGCGGTCGAGTGGCCACTGCAAAACGCATGGCGGCGACAGTCCAAAGGCGACACCGACGCGGAAAGCGAGCGGTGGCGGCGACGACGATATCTTTTTGGACCTGCCCGACTTGATGGACCTCTCTGGCTTTGAGGACAACCCGACGCTAGCCTCGACCCTCGATGACGCGATCGACGAGTCGATCTGGAGTGCGCTCTGCGACTCCCTTGCCTCGAGTAGTGTCAATTGGAGTGCAACCATGCTGTAGACCCTAGTATTGTACGACAATCAACTTGTTTATCTATTGCTTTCATTGCTCAACAGCCCTCGGCGACACGTCGTCTGCGCTAGGTGCCGCAAACGATTCGCAAGCAACCTTCTGCCGGCATGCGGTTCTAGGCAGAAGACGACATTCCGTACTTGCATACAAGCACATGACAGTAGTGCAGTACGCGCTGGGCAACGTTGTGCCATGCGAGCGGCAGGGCAACCGCAACGACCAACGGTTGGACTAGTCAGCTGGTTGACGAGCATGGTGACCCCTCTGCGCCAGGGCTCACGCTCAATGTTGTACAGCGATATGATAGGGGAAGGTGATATAGATTCCAATTGCTACCTTACCGAGGACATATTTGGGCGAGTTGATATGTACTCGCTCCGTGGGGTCGAGATTTCTTTGGTTAAATGGGTGGTGTTGAAAAACACCAGTGTTGGAGGTGCTATGTTACATAGCGGCCGGGAATTTACGAGCGTTCGCCACGGATGCGGCGAGCGAGCTGGATGTCCTTGGGCATAATCGTAACACGCTTCGCGTGGATGGCGCACAAGTTGGTGTCTTCGAAGAGGCCGACGAGGTAGGCCTCGGCGGCTTCCTGGAGAGCGAGGACTGCCGAGCCCTGGAAGCGCAAGTCCGTCTTGAAGTCCTGGGCGATCTCGCGGACGAGACGCTGGAACGGGAGCTTGCGGATGAGGAGCTCCGTCGACTTCTGGTAGCGACGAATCTCACGGAGCGCGACCGTACCCGGGCGGTAGCGGTGGGGCTTCTTGACGCCACCCGTGGCCGGGGCGCTCTTGCGGGCAGCCTTCGTGGCGAGCTGTTTGCGGGGGGCCTTGCCACCGGTGGACTTGCGGGCGGTTTGCTTGGTACGAGCCATTTTGTTGAGAGAACGAGTTTTCGGAAATGTCAATTCCGAGCAGCACTCCATGCTCTAGCCAATCAGCGCGCCAGCTCCCCTCGCGCGTAAGCCTTGGCCAATGGCCGTTCTTCCCGCATCTTCTCGACCAATAGCCTGGCACCTTGGAAATATTCCTCCAATCCAAACCTGTTGTCGTCCTTAATGCAGTATGGGCCAATCAGAACCCGTATCTCGCGCCTTTGATTTGGACCAATCGCAATTCGCGGTAGCCACACTTAGGCTCATTTTCAGTTTTCCCTCCAAGGAACAAGAAGAAACATGTCTGGTCGTGGCAAGGGCGGCAAGGGTCTCGGCAAGGGCGGTGCGAAGCGCCACCGCAAGGTCCTTCGTGACAACATCCAGGGCATCACCAAGCCCGCCATCCGCCGCCTCGCTCGCCGTGGCGGTGTCAAGCGTATCTCGGGCCTCATCTACGAAGAGACCCGTGGTGTCCTCAAGGTCTTTCTCGAAAACGTAATCAAGGACTCGGTCACGTACACGGAGCACGCTCGCCGCAAGACGGTGACGGCCATGGACGTCGTCTACGCGCTCAAGCGCCAGGGCCGCACGCTCTACGGCTTCGGCGGTTAAATCTGCGTTGCTTGACGAGCGCAACCGCTCAATTTCGAGACTTGTGTCTCTCTACATCTGGTGTTTTTCAACACCACCCATTCTCCTAAGAAAGAGCTCTCCAGCACTCTCTCCAGCAGTAGCTTCGTAGATCGATTCGAGGACCGGATATGTAGGTACTAGTGTAGCAAACTGCTACTACTAGTAAGTGACTACCGGTACGCAGCTGCAAATCTAACGTAGGTTGCGAATCCGTGAACGCGAGGATACCAAATCACGCTGAGCCTCCGAGCTGGCTTCCGTTCCGAGGCAGCCGACGTTGGTTCATGCGTCCAGAAGAGCAAATACGCGTGGCTATGACGCCCGTGGTATTGCATGCACAAGGCCTTTGTTGTCATCGTCTATGCTTCTGGCATCCCCCGGGTGGGACCAAAACAGCCCTATGAACCAAGTGCAATGGGGCTGTCTCGTCAAACTTGCGTGGTGTTATGAGGATGCAGACAATGGCTGAGAAACGTTCCAAAAGACCTCGGTCTTCATGACGGCGATTAATAATGGGTGACGTCCATGGGTGGCTCGTGTGGGAGGCAGCGATCAGCCATTCCTGCCAGACGTCGTTGGTGCGGAGGTGGAGTAGCTGACGGGCACTCAATTCTTCTATGATCGACCCCCACGGGGTGGGGTACCCTACATTCGTCACTTGAAGTTGCTGCACGCATCAAGTTTGGGACCATTGTTGAGAGCAGGATCAATGTCTTTCGAACTGCCAGCGTCCTACCATGCCACCCGGATAGGAGGACACCGTTGCTACAATGCGCTGGAACGCCTTGGAAGCGTCGTCGATCGATCCAGCGTCGCTAGAGACCCTTCGGTCGAATCTTATTGGGGTACACCCCAAAAATGCATGTCCCAGGAAGTTGAACCAATCGGTGACGACAGCGGCTGGTCAGCTCCGGGACTGGGCATTTCCCGACTTGGATGTCCACGAGCACTTGACTCGCAGACCCTGATCAATTCGCCCGCCGAGGTCGTCACCAGGCTGTCTTCCTACCCCCGACTCTACACTATTAGCAGCACGTGACAGCGCCATGGAGCTGCCAAAGAAGGAGCTCACGCCGCTCCTCAAGATCACACCGCCGCGCTACAACGCCAAGATCCCAAACTTCTCGCCGCTCGCAGAAATCCACACGAGCTCATCGTCGCCGCAGTCGGCGCACCCAGCGCCCACTGAGCTCTACTTGAGCACAGAGAGCGTGGCCTTTGCCTTCCAGCCGCGCCAGCCGGTCAAGCAGCCGAGCCCCAGCCCGTCGCTCGTAAGCGATGTCACGCCCTTGTCGTCGCCAGCGTCCGACGTTGTCATTGAGGACGAGTGCTTGTCGATCTTGGACCCGTACTTTGACGTGACGCCGTCCCGCCTTCACTTGGCGTTTGACGAAGCCGACCCAACCCACTCGGGTGTCTTGAGCCGCGATGGACTGCGGCATGGCCTCGAGAGTCTTGGCATCCGGTGCGCCGACGCGCCCGCGATCTTTGATGTGCTCCTCTCGTTCGTCAAGGAGCCATTGTCGCGCTCGGTCTTCGAGGACATTGTGCAAAAACTCAAGCTCGGCAATCTCTTTGATGAACAAACGGTCGCGCTCTTTACCGACTCGGTGTACGCGCCGGCGCGGATCGAAGTCGTCGATTTCTCATCGACGCGCCTCTCGCACTACAAGCCCGAGCTCCGGTCCTTCTTTATGAACGACCGCGCGCCGTGGGCGTCGTGTCGCTGGATCAACGTCCAGGGCCACGACCACTTGAACCTCAAGCGGCTCGCGATCAAGTACCGGCTGCACCCGCTCGCGATGGAAGACACGATCGAGCTCAACGAGCGGCCGAAATTCGACTCGTACGAAACCCATCGGTTTGTCATTTTTCCCGTTTTGCGCCAAACCATTCTATTTCCCAGTACGTCCACATCGTCTTCCTCACGCATCCGATGGCTCCTGACGATGCCCTCGCATAGAAGAGACCAAGCACGAAGCGCCCATGGACGACAGCTGGTGGAGCTACCTCACAAGCACGTCATCTCCGTCGATGCCGGTCATGGCCGCGTACACATTCCAGCTCGCCGTCGAGCACGTCGCGATCTTCGTGGTTGATGACGATACGCTCATCACGGTTAAGCCGACGCGGCCCAACGACATTTGGCGCACCGTCCACAGGCGCTTGGCCTCGACGTACTCGAAGGTGCGGCACAACGGCGCCAACTTCCTCTTTTACACAGTGCTCGACGTCATTGTCGACGACATGACCAACGCGATGGACCAAGTCCGGCAGTACCTCATGCACTTGGACCGCGAGCTCGCGCGCCTCCTGCATAACTTTGACATTGGCGTCCTCCGCGACGTGCAAATCGAGCTCGCGCAGCTCCCGCGCGTGATCAAGCCGACGCGCGACGTGCTCAAGAGCGTTCTAGAGAGCGCCGAGCTCCCCGAAACGACCAAGGCGTACTTCCGCGACGTGCACGACCACACCAACCATATTCTGGACGAGATCGAGTGGCAGTCGCAAATGTGCCGGGGCATGATCGAAGAATACCGCGACGCCAAGTCGACGCAGACCAACTACGTCATGTACACGCTCACGATCGTCACGACGGTCTTCCTCCCCGCGCAGTTTCTCACGGGCGTCTACGGCATGAATTTTGGTACGACGACGTCGGAATACGGCTGTGGAGGCTGAGGATATGTGTAGACTACATGCCCGAGCTCCACTCGCGCTATGGGTACCTCGTGTTCTGGGGCCTCATCCTCTTCATCACGATCACGCTGCGCTTTTACTTTCGCCTCAAGCAATGGGTCTAATCCAGTACTACTAGTATGAGTTTGTAGCACACACTAGGCATCATCCTCATCATCGCACGTGTGGATACGGCCGCTGCAATGCGTCTCGGTCGATGCAGAGGGGTGGCAATTCTTGGTGGCGAGTTTTGTATGGGAACTTGGGGCATGACGGTCGTACGCCATGGACTTAGCAGCGGATCGATACCCGTCGTGCGCGGCTACTACCGCGATCGTGAAGGCCCGAGGCCAGCGCGAAGCTTGAGCGTCGTGGTTGTCTGTCAAAGGAAGATCGTCCGGAAGAATGCTACAGCGTATCCGTAGACTGGCACCAGAGCTCAAGAAGACACGATGTACTCGTTGCCGACGCTCTGCTATGCTTGGATCGCCGTCGCACTCGTCGCGTTCGTGCTGCTTCAGTTTGTGACGGCGCCGTTCGGCCGACACACGTCCACTGCATGGGGCCCTATGCTCAACAACAAGGTCGGCTGGTGCCTTATGGAGCTGCCATCGCTGCTCCTCATGGGCGGCTGCGCGTGGCGTGAGTACCTCTACTACGACGCCCGCCCGTCGTCCTCGTATGCGTGGGTGCTCTACATACTCTGGATCGCTCACTACACGAACCGGTCGATCGTGTACCCGCTGCGCATCGCGGCGACGCCCAAGCCAATGCCGGTTCTTATCGTCCTATGTGCCTGCGGCTTTAACCTCGTGAACGCGGGTCTCAACGGCGCGTACCTGCTGCATGCAAGCGCTGCGTACGATGCATCCTGGCTTGTCGCTCCGAGCACGGTCTTGGGTCTTTTGCTCTTCGTCGCCGGCATGGCCATCAATTGCATCTGTGACACGATGCTCATCCGCCTGCGCAAGCCGAACGAGACCGGGTACAAGATCCCACGCGGCTTCCTCTTTGAGCTTATCTCGTGCCCGAACCTCTTTGGCGAGTGCGTCGAGTGGGCGGGCTTTGGCCTCATGGCGTGGAATCCAGCGGCGACAACGTTTGTGATCTGGACCGTCGCGAACCTCATGCCCCGCGCCGCGAGCCACCACGCTTGGTACCAATCGCACTTCAAAGACTACCCTCGCACGCGAAAGGCGATCGTCCCCTTCGTCTTCTAGTCCATGCATTCTCTTCGCGTTGCAACAAGATGGTGTAAAGAAGAGATGACATTTCCTGTAAATAGGGTGGTGTTGATGAACACCAAATGAAAAAGAAGAGTTGCACAATGCATCGCATCGCGCAGAGGTCGCGCAGTTTAGGCCGACGACGTGAACTTGGTCACAGCCTTCGTGCCCTCCGAGACAGCGTGCTTGGCGAGCTCGCCGGGGAGCATGAGGCGGACAGCGGTCTGGATCTCACGCGACGACAAGGTCGACTTCTTGTTGTAGCGCGAGAGCTTGCCAGCTTCCGACGCAATGCGCTCGAAGATGTCGTTGATGAACGAGTTCATGATGGACATGCCACGCTTGGAGATACCAGTCTCGGGGTGGACCTGCTTGAGCACCTTGTAGATGTACGTCGAGTACGACTCGACGCGCTTGCCCTTCTTGGCCTTGCCCTTCTCGCCCGTCTTCTTCGGGGCCTTGGCGGACTTCTTGCTCGGGGTCTTGGCCATCTTGGTTGCTTGGGATGCAAATTCGAAAATGGCATTCCTTGGCGTAGCAATGGCCGTGTCGCAAGGATCCGTCGTGGCGCGAAATGCCTGCCGCGGATTGGTTTGCTTTGAATCCGCGCTCATGATTGGCTATAAAAGTGTATTACATTTTTTGATTGGTTCAATTGTGGCGGCATGTATTGTGATTGGTGGAATATTTCTGGCAGCGCAGCCGAAGATCGACGGCGGCAACGTGACACATTTCAATTTCCAAGCAACAACCAACATGTCGGGCAAGGGTAAGGCTACGGGCGGTCGCGGTGCCAAGGGCAAGGCGTCGTCGCGCTCGTCCAAGGCGGGTCTCCAGTTCCCCGTCGGTCGTGTCGCTCGCTTCCTCAAGAAGGGCCGCTTCGCCCAGCGCATTGGTGGCGGCGCGCCCGTCTACCTCGCCGCGGTCCTCGAGTACCTCTGCGCCGAAATCTTGGAGCTTGCTGGCAACGCTGCGCGCGACAACAAGAAGTCGCGTATCATCCCGCGCCACATCCAACTCGCGGTGCGCAACGATGAAGAGCTTAACAAGCTCCTTGGCGACGTGACGATCGCGTCCGGCGGTGTCCTTCCCAACATCCACAACCTCCTCCTTCCCAAGAAGTCGTCGCTCCCGACCAAGGAAGCCAAGGCCCCGAAGGCGTAAGCTCCTGCGCGCATGTGTCTCTAGATTTTCGCTCTCTTTGCTTATATTTAATCTTTCGTGTCCTACCAACGTCTCGACCACCATGCTTCGGCTCGTAGCTTCTCACATCTTCCTCTGTCGACGACCTCGGTCCGAGAAGAGATATGTGACAGTCGAATAGTGTATTGCGACAAGGCAAGTAATAGCGATCTGTCGGCCAGCTCCTGCCAAAAGAGAAAGCGCAGATCTGAACATATCCCGAGGTCACAAAGGCCGTGTAGCGGGTGCGACAGACTTGCGTCGAGGTTGTCGGCGAGGCAGCGATGACATCGGGGTGCCGAGCTACAAAGCGGCGTCAAGAAGCCCAAAGCACTCCACGGGATGCACTCATCCATCGCGCGGTTGATCGGGACATCGAACGATCTAAAAGGGTAGTCTATAGGCGACGTGCACTGTAGCATTATGCATAGCCTGTCGAGCCCTCAATTTGAAGCGATCAACTGTTGCATATCATATACGTACCGGCTGGTGGCGTCGTTGCCCAGGTATGTGACGGGTTCAAACGACCTACCTGGTTTGTCATTGGTTGGCTTTGCGCTCTTAGGCAATCCACGTCAAGCAATTATTGACTAGCGCATAGCTCTGGCACCGCTCTGCCCTGTTGAGCTCATTGTCCATTTATCACTTTCCGACAACCATGGTCGACTTTGCCGTGGTCAAAACTCCGCGGTCCGACGACGAGACGCCGACACCAACGTCGTCCACTGCGCTCGTGCTGCGACTCACTGTGCTTCTTTGCTTTGGCATCTACATCTTTGGCAACATTGCGACGTGGGCACCGCTCTTTGAATTGCAGCTCGTCAACACCATGACCGAGTGGTGGCATGGCTACCCCAACAACGGCGGCTCCGTCGTGGCGGGCCACCACTCCAAGATCATCGACACGGGCATCGGGCGCAACATTACGATCACGGGCCACACCGAGTTTGTCCGACCGACGTTCCTCTTTCTTTTTTGCATCTTGCCGTTCTTTGTCGGTCTCCTCCTCATTGAGACCCTCGGGCATCCCTCTCTCGCGCCTCGTCGTGCCACGTCATCGGCGTTTTGGCGCGTCGCCCAATGGATGCGCCGCAAGCCGTCGCTCTTTGGCAGCGTGTCCCGCTGCAGTCTTGGCGAGTGGCTCTTTGGCGTCGTGTTTGTCATTGGCGGTAACGTCCTCTGCTTTTACTACGAGTGGGACCGACGCGTGGCCTTGGCCAAGGCCGCCGGGGCCGGCAAGATCAGCACAACCAAGTACTGGAACATGGTCGGCATCAGCGCGGCGTACCTCTGCATCTACAACATGGCGTTTCTCCTCCTCCCCGTCTCGCGCAACTCGGCGTGGATGGAGTTTATGAACATCTCGTACGCCAACGGCGCCAAGCTGCACCGCTATGTGGGCTACATGACCGTCTTGACCGGCGTTGTGCACACGGGCGGCTACTGGGGCAAGTGGGTCCGCGACGGCACGTGGGTCGCCAACCAGGCGCCGTGCATGAATTGCAACTTTACGGACGAGACGACGGGGTATTTTGCGTGGTTCAACTTTTTCGGGCTCGTCTCGGTTGTCGCGCTGCTGCTGCTGCTCCCGACGTCGATCCCGATTGTGCGCCGAAAGGCCTACGAGTGGTTTTACATCTCGCATTGGGTGCTCTTTCTCACTGCGCTCTCTTTCGCGATTCTGCATTGGACGCAGATCCTCTGGTGGATCCTTCCGTCCGGCCTGCTCTTTCTCATTGGCCGCGCGTGCTCGAGCTACAACGCCCTATCGCCTGTGGCCGCGACCATGCGCGTCATTGGTGGCAACATTGTACAAGTTGTCCTCGCTGTGCAGAGCGACTACTTGGTCGGCCACTTTGTCTACCTCAACGTCCCGGCCATTTCCAAGCTGCAGTGGCACGCGCTCACTATCGCGTCGTCGGCCAAGACCTCTGGCGCCACGACCATGACGCTGCTCGTCAAGCCCGTTGGCGACTGGTCGACCACGCTCCTGACGTATGCGGCCGAGTGCGGCGACGCTGCCGTGGTGTTTGTGGATGGCTTTTGTGGGGCGGCCCTCAACCACCTTGCCCACTTTCGCACGACCCTTCTTGTCGGCGGGGGCATAGGCGTCACCCCGATTCTGGCTGTGCTCGAAGAGATGGCGCACAGCGTGCATGCGACCGGTGTCTGGGCGCAATGTGTCGTCCTCGTTTTCTCTGCGCGTGACCTTGCTTTGTTTGAGCTACTCGCGCCGGTTCTCACCAAGCTTCGCGAACTCGACCCGCAGCAGATCCATTTCACATCGCACCTCTTTCTTTCGACGCACGCCGACGACAACGCCCTTGACGCCCCCTCACGACATCGCCGTCGGTGGCCAAGCCGCTACGAGCGACGACCGGTCGCCCATTCCGCGCCCCACTGCAGTCACGAACGACCCGTATGATCCTCTACGTCGTGCTCTTTGCCACTGCGATCGTTGCACTTGGCGCTGCACATTGGGGCAACGGTCCTATCCAGGGGGCAAACCACTACTCTCTGTGGCCACTCCAGCGGGCGTTTGAGCTTGCTGTCTTCACCGCCACGATCCTCGTCGTGTACGTCTTCCTCTGGGCCGAGGCCGTAAAGGCGACCCACGACACGGCAGCGCCCCTCCCGAGCGATGACGCGCTGCCAGCCACCATCGTGACGATTCGAGACCTCCTGTTGCACCTGGGGGTCACGGTTGGCACTCGCCCGACTGTCCATGCGCTTGTGGCCGACACCCTCGCGAAGCACCGTGCCGAGAACGGGGTCGTGGGGGTCATCGTGTCTGGCCCCGAGAGCCTCAAGTGCGCAGTGAACGATGCGGCCGTTGCCCTTGGCGCCCACTTTTTTGACATTCACGAAGAAGAGTTTGAGCTCTAAGCATTACCACACTTGATATATAGAGACAATATGTCAACTGTTTCGATCCAACAACTGGTTTTATGATCGGTTTCATGACCAGTTTCGTAAACGGTTTCGTGCCAGGGTCACAGAGTCGTCCGTGATCAAGGCCGGGCACGGCAACCGCTACCGCAAACTCCGACAATCAGCTACGCTCGGTTGGCCAAGTCACTCGCCTAATCCAGTCATCTAACGAGGTTTGACCGCACGTACATTTCAAAAGCTATCGTGGCGGCATCACGCTGTGACGACTTTAACGTCAATAATCTAAAGCAAGTTCTAGCACCTCGTTGCGACCAAGGGGGTGCACTGACAAAGTATTGACTCTTAGTTCTAGCAGATTCATCAGTGTGGCGGCGGGCTGGCCACTCGCAATACCGATCTGGAGCCTTTACCAGCGACTCACGAGTAAACTAGTGCCAACCACTACGCAAGGAGCGGAAAAGACATCGCAAAGTAAGAGTAGCTCACCACGTGCTCGTCAAGGCGACTCGATTTCCGAGTTGATGGTGCTAGATCCAGTGTGCTAGATCGATGCTGTTTAGTCTCTCAACGGCTCGAGCTTGACGAGACACAGCTCCAGTGAGATGTGGGAGACCTCGAGCAACTCGTTTGCTCAGCTGCGCTTACCATTACATGCATTTTACATGTCGACGAACGTGTTATCATGGGCGCATGCCACATCGGACCGAGCTCTGGAACCGTAGCCGCTTGGCACCACTTCCACCTCCAGTCGGGGTTCTGTCGCGCGGGATGTCCCAGGCGCGAGATCTTGGTGGACCAGCTGCAGCTTCGTGGTGCCGGTACGACTGCCGTGAACAGAAAACTTGCTCGCTAGTACTATAAGAACTACTACAAGACAAAGGGTTGCTAGCTACGGTCGTCGATGCACCCAACGCAGGTGCATCGGTGATCGTTGGGTAAGTAATGGCACTATATCAATTTAATAATATTCAAGTCCCCTCGATACGATCAGCGTTGTGGGCGTGTTTGTATGGGACAGTCGCCAAGACCGCTGGCTCGTAAATTAATTTCGTGGAAAATACTCGGTTGATGGGCATTTTATTTTGCAGTAATATTCGAAGTCGGATTAAAATAATATTCTGTTTCGGCCATTGACGCTTTCACCGACGAGAGGAGCGGCGCCAGTCGCGCGATGGAAGAGCCCGTAGACGTAGGCGCGCCCGACGTGTGGGTCACGCCCGGATGGACAGAGTACCCGATCATGGAGAACTTCTACGCTGGCGGCGCCATGGACGTCGACCTCGAGTCGCCCTACGACGTGGTCTTCTCGCCCGACACCAAGGCCGCCTTCGCCGCCACCTACGACAATGGCCTCGAGCGCCCGGAAGAAGACTCGGACACGTCGATGGACGAAATGGGCGAGCTCTCTGCTGTTGCATTGGCCGAGACGCCCCAAAAGCGACGCGTGTCCGCCCAACCGACCTACGCCACGCATCGCCGCATGACAACGATCAAAGACCTTAGCACCCCAACGCTTGCAAAGGGCAAGTCGCCTGCATTCACGACAGACGATCTGCAGGCGACCGCCGACGACCTTGGCGCCAAGGTACGCTTTTGACACGCCAGGCTTGTAGGCTCATGATGCGTAGCTTGAAAAGTGTCTGGACGACGTCGCTTCCAAGCTCACACAAGAGTACGCCGCGTACGAAGCCTACGAGCTCTCGACGCTGCCACCGCCACCGCCGCAGCCGAGTCTGTTTTCGTTTCTCTGCGCGCCCCAAGCGGATCCGTGGAAGCACTTTGACGGTCTCGGACGGCTCTGCGATCTCGTCACGACGTCGTCGCACCACCGCAGCTTGAACCAGCTCACGCGCCACAAGCGTCACGTGCAACGGCTACTGCACACTGTGCTCCGGCGCCATTACCACGTCCACGACATGGCGCTCACGGCGAAGGAGCTCGCGTCCTTTGAGTCGGTCGAGATGTACCTCGAGCACGACCTCAAGCTCCATTTGCTTTCCCAGCAGCGCGAGTGGCTTCAGCACCTGGACCTTGCGCGGGAGCAGGCCAAGAAGGACGCGTCCATGCACGCCGTGCGCTACCGACATGCCTCTCTCGACGTCGACGATGCGTACCCGCACAACATTCGTCACGGCAAGATGCGCCGGCTGCTGGAAGCGGCAAGCTGGTACCGGCTCTTGCAGCAATCGGCAGGCCTCGGGCGGAGTCCCCACGGCACGAGCCTCTCGGTGGTCGAGAGCAACAACAACAACAACAACAACAACAACAAGAGCGATCATGACGAGCCGCGCCAGCAGAGCGTCATGGACGACGTGCTCGCCGGCGAGGAATTTTACGCTGAGTATTACGAGCTCATGAACACAAAAGAGGTATCCCGTCCTTGTCGTCGGGTGCAACTTTAAGTACACTGCGTAGTGGTGGTCGGTGGTCCAAGCACAGTTTGAAAACCTCATTTTTGCGGCCGCGGACAACCGCATTTGCCACATGATTGACCGCGTCTGCTTTGAGGGCGCGCGGCTCGCGTGCGAAGACCTCCTCGACGACTGCATGCCGTCCGAGCCAACCATTCAGAAGAAGCTGCCGTACGCCGACTTGCACCACGCGTGGCTGCGCGACCCAACGCCCGACCACGTGCTCGAGTTTATCGAGGCGGTCACGCTCCGTGTCCGGCGCGAGTTTGGCATCCTCGACGACGTCAACAAAAGCCTCTACATCTTTATGCAGCGCGCGCTCTTCCCGCGGCTCGTAACGCTGTGCTACAGCGCACCGACGCTGCAAGAGTGTGCCCGCAAGGACGCGCTCTGGCGCAAAAAGCAAGCCTCGCTGCGCTTGGCGGGCGTGAGCATGGAGCAGTTTGGCGTCACACCCGACCTCGCCCGTACGTTGCCCCGTCGAATGATGCCAAGGACACTACTCACTACTATCCTCTTGTGTAGAACGCATTCGGGACGGCGCGGTCGATGCGAAAATGGTGTTTCCGGCGGCCCGGCTCGCCTTTAGCGCCATGGGCAGCCTCGTGCCATGCGACCTTCTCGAAGAGATGATCCACGGCGTTGTTGTCTTGCACGAAGAGGCCGCCAAGGTGTTTGGCACGACGCGGATCGCGGTCGACACGTTCTTCCACTGCTGTCGTACGTGCTGCTGCATGCCGAGCTGCCATTTGTGCATGCACACTTGTATTTATTGGAGCACTATGCGCTCGCCGAGATGCACGAGACGAGCCGTGGGGACCACCCGAACCGCAACGGCGAGGAATCGTACTACGTCTACTGCATGCACGCGGCCGTCGAGGCCATCTGCAGCTTTGCGCGACCGACGATTGCCTAGCCTAAGAGGAACGAAACGATTTTATTAACTTACATGTGGCGGCAGAACAGGCATGCTTGGCGTCACGGGTCGGCGCTCGCCATGTGATCGATCCAGAACACGGCCGCCAGCTCGAGTAGAAGTAGCAACACGTTGCATCCGCTGAGCTCGAGCACAGACGGCGGCAGCGCGCGCTGCAGGAAGAGCTCGACGCTCGCTATCACGGCCATCTTGGCGACGAGGTGGGCTGCGAGCTCGGACCACGAGAGGTCCTCAGCGTCCTCGCGGAGGTCGCGGCCGATGGCCTCGTACGCCCGTACCACCTGCGTGAGGGCTCGTCGTGGGTTCATGGGCGCCCGGCCGAGCATCAACTTGGGCCCGTCCATCTCCATCGTTTTGTCGCGCGATCTTGTCTCGCCGAGGGTTGTGATTATATCCCACCGTGGGTTTGTCCCAATATCCCATCGGGCATCAGAGTGGACAAACTGGGCAATATTAGTCGCTTCACGCGATCAACTAAGCTTTTGGAAACACAACTCGTGTACACACGGCTTCAGCACGATACCGTTGGCGCCGGGCCAAGGCGTCTCGAGCATTTGCGTAAACCATGCACAGCTGGACATGCCAACCACGTTAGCATACGAAACAACACACATCACCGCCAATATCGACGCCAATTATGACAGCCTTGAAGCGCTCAGATCAACGTGTTCTCAACGCCGAGCTCAACCTCACTAAACGGGACGTGTGGGGATGCCACGCATTCCTAGAGAACACCCATCCTATACGACTGGCGAGCTCGGATGCTTCTTCGCTCTGCGTTTCGAGAAAAGAACATGGTATCGGTTACACCCGGCTCGGATGTTGGGACATTGGGACAAACTGCGCAATCACCGCCAGCCGGTTTAGTCGATGGCGTTCAGTCGAAGTCCAACATCAACTCAACATGACCAAGCACCAAGCCGGAAGCGCGCTCAAGGGCGGGCGCGGGAAGAAGTCCAAGGACGAGGCCGCCAAGAAGCCGCAGTATTCTGTACCTGAAGAGATCATCCCATTCATCTTCCAGTACCTCTCGTGGCGCGACGGGTACCGCGCCGGCCGCGTCTCGCGCGCGTGGCACGAGGCGCATGCGTCCATCTTGCACCCGACGTCGCCGATGCAAGTGGGCCTGCACTGGCGCGCGTCCACATACACTGGCGAGAGCTGGGACGACATTCTGAGCGAGTTTGCGCCCACGGACACGTGCTTTGCCGCGCAGTACGCGCCGCAGCTAGCGATGATCACCGTGTCGGGGCTGGCCCACTCGTTGCGGCGCCCGACGGGATGGAACAAGCTCTTCCACGTGATTCAAGAGCGCAAGCTATTGCCTCGCGCCTGCACGATCGTGTGCATGTACAGCGACTTTGGCATCATGGCCTCAACCGCGGCCGGCGGCCACTACGACCTCTCGGAGCTCGAGAGCTCGGTCATCGACGACATGGCCGTCAACATCACGGTCGGGTACTTCCCCGAAACGACGCTCCAAGTGCTAGAACCCACGAAGCTCGAGATCCGAGAGGGTCTCTTGACGCCAATGATCTCGGCGTCGGCCAACTCGATCCTCGTGTACAGCACCAACGGCGCGCAGTGCGACGACCTTGTCCGACTCATGGCCACGACGCATGCCAGCGCCAACATTGTTGGGACGATCCTTCCATTCACAGACCGCTGCGTGCCCATGGCCGTCCGACGCCTCTCGCCCGCGGGCCTCAGCATCTCGCACCCGACCCACCTCTGCGTGGCCTTTGATGGCCGCGTCGCGAGTGCGCCGTTCGTATCACTTGGCTTCAAGATCATCTCGCCCATTCTCCAGGTATCGATGTTGATATATCGATACTTGAGCACTGATGCGTGGCTAGTGCGAGCACATGCAAATGCGCCGGCATCCATACTTCAAAGTGCTCCATACGTTCGAGTCGGTCGCGGTCGCGACGTCGCCCGCCATGTCCATGGCGCCCATCCAGCTCCTCAATAGCGTGTCCGAAGCGTCTGGAAACGTGTACCTCTTCAAGGCAGAAACCGAAGCCGAGGTCGCGGCCTTCATTGCAGCGCCTCATGCCGTGCACCTCGATCGCGCCGTGTGCATCTACGACAAGCAGCACGGCATCGTCTTTTCCCAAGCGGACGCAGAGAGTGGCGCGGCGCCGTGGCGCGAAGGCATGTTTGGTGTCTTCTGCGTCCAGGACGCCGTCGCCGGCCAAGCCGACCTCGCGCACTCGCTCGCATTGGCCAAGGTCGCTGCGTCTGGTGCCACGATCCTCGGCGGGCTCACGTACCCCGTGCGCGGCCCGGGGCGAAGGCTTTTACGGCGAGACTGACGTCGAGGCCGATACCTTTGCTAGCGTATTTCCAAACACGCCGCTCGCGGGCGTCATTTCCGGCGGCGAGATCGGTCCACTGGCGATGCCCGGTGGTCGCATCTCGCTCGACCAAAAGATCGACATGCAGTCGTACACGACATGTGGTGCGCTCTTCTACCTCCGCCCATAAACTCTACGCGTATAAAGAAAGAGGATTGCTTTGGTTACCGTGGTTCCAGCAGTGCGCAATGGCGCTTGCATCGTCAAGAAGCCACAGGCCTTGCCGTGTACTACGACGATGTCGCCGGCAACAAGCCGTGTGGGGAGGCAAAAGGGCTAGGGCTAGGGCCACAACCAAGTATAAATTAATACCAGTCAGTATGCACCCCTGTTAAGAGTGTCCAAGCTTTGGCGCCAAGCCGACAGTGGTTTTCAAATGGCCCTTCTATCGTATAGGCAGGCAAAAGACCTGTGAGCGATCGAAGAAGCGTTCTCTGCGGTCGACGACGAAAGAGCGAAGAAGACGCTATGCATGAGCATGACCTTCCTGGGCCTTCGATCACAATCAGCAACGGCCCGACGGTGACTGGCTTTGGCGTCATCATCTTTGCTTTGGCGTCATCACGCGCCAGTAGCCCGTTTGGCGGAGCTGTCGATCCTGGCTGTCTACGCGAAAGGGCAGAGGACTGCAGGCGCGGTCTCCTGGCGCAGAGTCCACTGCAATCGGAGGCATACACTGCGAAACGATCTATTGGTGTAGCGGGCTGCTGTTTCTACTTCTTACTGCTGCTTCTTGCTCAACTCGACGGCCGCCGTGACGAGGTCGCGGAGGATGACGCAGAGGCGCTTGTGGTTATAAATGCGTTTGTCGTACCGGTCTTCGGCGAGCTTGACGAGGCGCTTGTCCTTGTTGTAGCGCGGACCCGCGAGCTGCAGGAAGATCTCCATGGCCTTCTCGTCGAGGCTCAGCGCGCTCAGCGGCACCTCGAACGTGACCTTGGTGTCGAACGTCGTCTGGTCGTCAAGGAAGAGGAGGTTGTCAAAGTCCTCGAGCGTCACGTTCATCTGGATCGCAATCTTGGAGCCGTCGAGCGCCGGGTGGATCTCGCTCTCCCACGAGTGGTCCATGAGTGGCACGAGGTCCTCAAACACCTGGAGCATCTCGACTTCGTGCTTCATGTCGTCGTCAAAGGTGGCGGGAAAGTCCGTGTTCCACCACAGCGGGTTCTCAAAGTGCTCCTGGATCTCGGGCAGGTCGTTGCCCTCCCACGTGTCGAAGGCCGTGTGGAAGAGCTGCTCGATGTCGCCGGCGCCGGTCTCGTAGTTCTCTTCCTCGCCGCCCTTGCGGACGTCGGCGAAGCCGCGGGCGACGGCGAAGCGGCGGGCGGCCGCCATGCCACCGCGGGTCGCAAGGAGACGGGCTCGGGACAACATGGCCTGCTTTCAATAACTGGTGCACAAAAACCAATCACCAATTTCCTCTTTCTTTTGATACTCAAACCGAAGAGACCTCTCGGAACACATACCTCCCACATCCGATATGAAGGCAGCCAATCGCAAGCGACCAAATCATCACTTGCGCGGGGCAGCGGCACGGGCCGGCAATCAATTGACCCGTGACATCCTTCTATGCGTACGCAGTAGGCGAGGCTGGTACACAGCGGTGTCATTATCGGAGGTACTGAGCAGCGTGGAGAGGAGGAGGTGGCGATCATTGGGCATGACGTGGCAGCCGGCGAAGGATTCAGCAATAATCTGATTGGGGGCAAGGATCTGGCTGTATTTTAATTGTCGGGAGGTGCAGAATAAAATAGAAAACAGGAAAAGCACCTTGACATATGTATGATGCATGGAATATTTTAAATTGACGACACGGCGGCATTGCGTCCCCGACGCCATTTTCGATCCAGCGGCCATGAGCGAACCGGACGAGCTCTTCACGCTGAAGAACCAGTTCTGGGTCGGCAACTTCCGCAATGCGATCCAGGAAGCGACGGTGCTCAGCCACATCCCCGAGGCCCAGAAGATGGACCGCGACGTGTACGTCTTCCGCGCGCAGCTTGCGCTGAAGAACTACGAGGGCGTGCTGCAAGCGATCCCGGCGGATGCGCCGATCTCGCTCAGCGCCATCAAGCTCTACGCCACGTACCTCAATGGTGGTGACGCCGAAATCACGCTCCTCACGCTGCGCGAGTGGCTGAGCACGCACCACGGCGAGAACCCGCACTTGCTCCTTGTCGCGGGCCTTATTTTCATGCAAGAACACAAGTTCTCGGACGCGCTCTCGGCGCTGACGCGTGGCCGGTCGCTCGAGCATCTAATGTACACGGTGCTGCTCTACCTCAAGATGGACCGCATCGACTTGGCCGAGAAGCAGATCCAAGACATGAAGCGCATCGACGAGGATGCAACAACGACACAGCTCGCCAAGTCGTGGACCATGGTCGCGAAGGGTGGGCCTGCCTGCGACGAGGCCGCGCTGCACTTCCAGGAGCTCGGTGACCGTTTTGGCGCGTCGGCGCAGCTTCTCAACGGCGCCGCGGTTGCTTACATGGGCCTCCTCAACTTTACGGAGGCGGACCGCCTCCTGAACGAGGCGCTGGCAAAGGACCCGACGTTTGAAGACACGTACGTCAACCTGATTGTAGTCGCACAGCACTTGAAGAAGGACAGCTCGGCGTGCGTGGCGCAGCTGCAGCAGCTCAACCCGAAGAACGAGTGGCTCGAGTCGTACCTGCGCCTCGAGAGCGGCTTTGCGCGCCTCGCGGCTTCGTACTGCTAAGCCGAGAGGGTCCTATTTCACGTGCCAATACAACAACTACAACTACTGCAACTACATTAAGTCCCTCCTACTGCAACTGCAATCAGTCTTTATAGCTATATTACGGTGGCTTGGATTTATGCATATCTGCTCGTGTGGCGGCGGGCCGACGACGACGACGGGACGCGGTCCTCGAGGTGCATGCGGCCTGCGCCCACGAGCCGACTGCTGCCGGCGGTCGAGCTGTTGGAAGACGACTTGGTGAGCTTCCCGTTGACGTACTCTTCGACTTTGCTCTCGACACGGCCGTCGGGGTGCTGGATCGACGTCGTCTTCTTCGTCACGGTCTGACCCGTATGGTCGCGGAACATGGACGTGCTACTGGAGCTGCTCGTGAAGCCGCCGCCTCCCAACCCAGAGCTCATCGAGAGGATGCTGCTACTACCGCCACCAAAGCCGCCCATCATCAGGTCGTCCATGTCCATCATCATCATCCCGAGACCGCCAAAGCCAAACGGATCGCGCTGCGTCGTCGTCGAGCGCGACCGGGCGCGGGCGTCCATCATGAACGGATCGCGGCCGCCAAAGAAGGCTTGGAAGAGGTCGCGTGCGTCAAAGAAACTGAACGGCTGGAACGCAGATGCTTCGTGGTAGCCAAAGCCGGCGCTGCGGCCATACTTGCGGCCATGGTCGTACTCTTGCCGCTTGGCCGGATCGCTCAGGACCGCGTACGCCTCGCCGATCTTCTTGAAGCGGTCTTCGGCGCATGGCTCCTTGTTCTTATCCGGATGCCACTTGATCGCGAGCTTGCGGTACGCGAGCTTGATCTCGGCCTCGGTCGCGGTCTCGGGCACCTCGAGCACGTCGTAGTACGTTGTCGCCTTCTCGGCCATCGCGTGAGATCTAAAATTACGGGCCATGGCGGCTTGCCACGTTTGCTTCGAGAAAGTTCTACGAAACTTTATATTTGGGCCGGATAAACCTGTAGCAACGCATACTTGCACGCTCGATCCTGCTACATTTACGAAGGTACAGTGTAATACCATTATTGACAACGACCTGTCTTCAAGGAGCTGGTCGTTTTCCGAGCAAGACGGACGATATTGCGATACCTATAAGGATGCACTCTGTTCATGTCAGTAGCACGCGCTATGCAGAACAAGTTGGAGTAGCAATGGGATGATGGCGACTGCGAAAGTTGCGTGGAATTAGATAGCACACTAATTAAAGTAGTTGAAGCCCGTCCTCGGTGGAGCACACTTTATAGACGACGTCGCTGCTTTGTGAAAGCGCGTGCAGGTCGCTGCGTACGGGCATGTACTACCTTTTCTAAACAATGAAATGCAAGTCTCCCAAGCGAATGCGGCTGGACCAACTTTATTTGGTCCATGGCATGCGAATCGTAAATACACCTTAATAGTGTTATATTTATGCAACAGTATATTACTGACC